TGGCTCTGAGTCGACGGTTTTACCTCTGAAGAAACGCGAACCCTCCTGATTTGGGTGAGTACCCGTGAGTAGAATTTTTTTTTCGTGACTGGACGTATGATAGGTCAGGAATGGTAGAGGATAGTGGAGAGTCGAAAAGTTTTACAAACCTGCCTAAGAAAAGAAGTACTGAGCACCTCCGAAGTGAGCCGAAGTGGACCGAAGGGACCCGAAGAGGTTGGGGTGGCAGTTCGGGCGTAAGTTCAGGTGGAAAATGGAAATGACTGCATATCGAGCCGGTATGTGATTCCGGGCCCGAAAAGAGGGTGATTGACCTGAACACATGTGTGGGAGCAGGTTAAGTGAAAAAAGCAGAGAACTGAGCATGGTTTTGAAGTGGGAGTTTTGACTCAGCAGTGATGGTATGTGGTTGTGGAGTGATGGTATGTGGATGTGGAGTGATGGTATGTGGATGTGGAGTGATGGTATGTGGATGTGGAGTGAGGTGAAGGAAAGGTTGAGTGGCGTGTTTTGGGAAAAACGGAGAAAAAGTGAGGGGAATAATTACAGAAGTGACGGGATTATCCGGTTTTGCCCCATTTCAACCACTACTTTACTTTTACCTTACTTTTCATCTCAGTCGCCTATACAGCACCTTACACCTATTCTACTATTACTACACAATACGAGTATAATTTACAAAAAACCGCCTCTGACATGTCTCACTCACCGATCACATGTCATGGTGAGTCTCGAAACCTCGACAATGACGATCAACTGACAGATAGTTTTAGACGCTTCTAGAGGTACACCCGCCTCGGGTATCCGAGTTCAATTAGAATGTCTCAGCTTGGCCGGTGCCGTCCAAGATTTCATCTCTTCCGAATTACCCAGAAAACTTGCGACGGGGTAAGTCCTTCAACCCCTATGTCATGCAACGTATAGTCTGGACCAGATATCAAGACAGAAGCCGTGTCCGATGGACTGACAATCAGATCGACCAACGAAGATGGCAGATGTACTGATTTACTCTCTTCCGGAAGCAGATTATCTCCAGGAGTATACAAAATGACCTTTTTCACAGAAGATTATTTCAAGGTAATCGGGATAGAAGCGTTTTACCCCTTGGTAGAGGTGAGTGAGAGGTTCATTTATGAGAAAGAAGAGATGAGGTAAATGTTAGATAACTTTCAATCGTGTCGACTCGGATCAACATTATCATATTCCCCTGTTGCTCAGTCCATATTCGTATACAACTTACAGGGGAAGTTAGTTGAGGGAAGGTTGATAGACCGAACTAGAAGACTCATCGTTGAGCTGGAGAGGTCCGTGATCTTTGAGGACAATACGTGAAATCTGTGATCTGCGACACGGATGTTGAAAAGAGTAGATATGCAAGATGCATAATTCGATAGATACTCAATCTTGTGAGAATCCATTGACAGGATGTCTACTAAAGTATGAGATCAAACTGATCCCTGGTGTTGACGAATGAACGCTTCGATCTGGTTGATATAATTGTCTGACAGACCATGTTGTCTTCCAAACTCTTCTGCTGTTTGACGTGGATCGGCTACGGTTCAGTTACAATGTAGCTCACCATGAGGTGCCACTCACAACTGGGATCAAATACAAGTGGGATAGGTGGACTATCGTCGCTGACACGTCAGTCATCCTCCCTCCACCCATCAGACTTCACGAGGATGACTCACCTGATGTCGATGTCGATAGTCAGCTGCTGGGATTTGGGTACTTGGTCAGTTTCTTCAGATGGTTCACTACACATTCAGATTCGTGTTCCTGTAACATTGTACCGAGACATACTTGACGGGTTCTTGAAGTTGTGCCCTATACGCCTACACCTATCAGCGCTACCACGATCAAAAGTAAAGTCAAACTGACCTCTCTGATATCTTCTGGAGCGAATCGTGACTCCTCTTTGGTCCAAATCCTGATTCTACCGTCCGAACCCCCCGTCACCACATCTCCATCAGGTAACACCCCTACAGACCAAACAGTTTGACAAGGATGAGAGATTGTAGCTTTGAGGACTCCTTCTTCCCACACCCTCTACTCATGAGCCGTGCATTCATGCGAGAGTAAATGTCACTGACGGCAGTATGGTCCTCTCCACAAGAAACTACTTCTTTCCCTGCGTAAAGAACTTGATACACGTAACACTCATGTCCCTTGTATACACTGGTGATACTTCCGGTCAAATCCCACGAGCGTATGAGTCTACACATCAACAAGGACAAACGTTCGGAGGGAAAGGTTGACTGACCCGTCGTTACATGAGCTGATGAAAGTCTCTCCACCAGGACATATGGCGATACTTCGAACGGGCTCAGGAGAACCTTTGAAACGAGATAAAATTTCTCCTTTGTCGTTCCAGAGATTGATCATAAGATCGGCTTTTATATCAACTTGTTTTTCACTCACATACCTTACGCCAGGCCTAGATGACAAAAAACATACCAGAACCTAGACTGTTAATGATGCTAACCTCTGAAGGGAAGATGGTACAGACCAGTAAGATAACATCCCGTTCTCGAACCCTCATCAAGAATCGCGACTCCCCATACGGCAGCTTCGTGTCCTGTCAGAACGACTTCCGTGTCCCATCTTCCAGAAGAACGAGACCATACACGAGCAGTGGTATCCCAACTACCACTGATGAGTTTTTCCAATTTAGAGCTGTAAGCAAGTGCACAGACATTTAGACCATGTCCCGCTAGATGTTCGACAGGTTCAGGATCTAAAGTCTTGAGGGAATGCAGAAGGATGAGAGAAGAGTTTCCACCGGATGCGATGAGATCTGTGTGGGTAAGCACAAAGTAGTTGTGTAAGTTGAAGAAGGTTCAATCAGGCAGAATGAACCAGAACATTGAATGAATGATAGGTATGAACTAACCTTCCTCGTGATTGGCATTCGGAGGTATATGGGCTAAAGAGTTGACGTAGGCGTCATGACCGCGAAGAATAGAAGCAAGTCGGACCTGTACCGTCAGTCAATGGCGGCTGGATGAGGCGAAGAAGGATGGATAAGACTGACTTGCCCGTCAGGTTGAATTGACCATACTCCAACGGTCTGATCTCTCGAGGCGGTGACCAAGGTGGTGGGGTTGATGGAGAGAACGGCTTTGACATCGCTCTGATGAGGTGGGTCAATCTCCGCTCGAAGTTGATAGCCGTCCATGATAGGTTGGAAAGCGAGTAAGAAAAAGCTCAGTGGAAAGTGTGAAGGACAGGAGCGGACATGCAAAGTGGAGGCCCCTCCACGTCATTTCAACCATACTTTATATTCGAGTACTGGAGGCAAAACACGTATCATGCCAACAGCATCGGGCCAACGGCCATCGGCCAAAGGGGCTGAGCTTGTTTACTCGCCTTTAGTACACTACCTCCGAGTCACTGGATCACATGTTGCTGTACTCGTATGTACTGTCATGTATAAGCATAGCCCCCGACCCCATCAACTCCTCGAATACCTATCTCCGCGCCCCATGAACACTCGGCGTATGTGTTTACCATAACTGATCTCGTCCACTCCCAAGTAATCCGCCAGTGTCAAAGGGGTCGCATCCATACTCTCCGCTTTCGACACCCATACATCCCCACGCCTCACATCTTTGGCCATGGCACTTCGGACGCTCATGAAACATGATAGTAAACGACTGTTGCGTCTGTTTGGACGAACTTGAGCCGAAAGATAGGCTCCTAGAAAAGGGATTAAACTGCGATCAGCTTTCCACTGTAGGGATCGATGAAGTTTGAGCATACCAAATGATAAAGTTGTGAAATTCTATGCGGAGAACTTTGCCGTATATCATTCGCCAGCATCCGGTATGCCAAGGAACGTAAATCCAAATGATGAAATTGAACAAGGTCTCAATTACATCCCCGACCTCGGGGACGAGGTTGAGAAAGAAGCCAAAGCCAAATCGGAAGTGTGTACCCTAAAGTCAGAGTAGAACAGCAGTCAAATGAGGACTGACTCACAGGGACACGGAAGAGATCGTCTATCATTGAAGCGTAATGAATGACCAGCATCAACCACCTGTAGTCCGAATGAGAAAGTCTATCACTAGGCGGGTTGAATTTCTACCCTCAGCCAGGAGACCTTCGTAACGCATATGAGAACTCACATAGATCACTTGATGAGGTGGATGTACCAATTGATCGTCATCATGTCGTCTGTCTAGATGACGGAAGAGATGTTTGCCCTTGTGACGATCTGGATGTTGGAAGTAGTTGCACAGGAGTATGAAATGGTCGAAGAACGCCTCATCGTCAGACACCCACATCGAAAGACTTCTCATGACTCACATCAGCTCTCTTATCCCTCAAGTTGTTGATCGCTTTTGACTGAATGATAGCCACCTCTTTCGGAACATAGGCGTCTGCCGCACCCTCCTTGGAAACTTCCGGAAGGGCCGGCCAACGATGATCACCCTGGATGTAGTCGTCACCTTGCTTGTGATGATCCGGCAGCGCGTTAGCATGGATCCAGTTGTGGGGCCAGCCCTCTGAGATATTGGTTCTGAAGACCACTCTGCAAACAAAGCGCAGTAAGCCCATCTGTATACGTGAGGGAAAAGTCAGTGATGCGAGTGTGGAGGTGAGGTCGATCTTTGAAGGGTTGGATAGTTTCCTTTGTAAAGTGTGGTTTGAACCCCTGTTGGATGTCCTTTCACGACCAAGACGTCCTCGAGGGGTCAGATCCGGAGCCGTCTCGGTGATAGATGCGACCGATAGGGTGGTTTCGACCCATGTATGAACAAGCATGGGTCGACCAATCAGAAGAGAGGAAAGTCGTCAGTAGGTCAACGGTCGGACAGACTATCACAATGGGTCTTGCATGGGAGACAATCCCAATTCTCTACCGAGTGGAACGATCCTAGCTTTTTTCGAGCTTGAGGTAGTAGTTGTCACGACGTTTCACTGAGGTCTCTGTCAGCGGTATCACAACGGAAAGATAAGGACTTCTGGAGTACTTACTCTGGGGAATGTGAACACCATACCTGTCCATGTAAGCTTAGTCTTTTGTTTTGGTGATAAACTCACCAGAATAAGTAACCGGCAGACGCTCCAAGGCCTAGTCTGGAATGATGAGCGACCCTCCTGAGTAATTCCATAAGCGGAGGAAGAGACGTACGCAATGGAGATGTCAGCGATGATGTGTTTTCTGAGCTGAAACTGTCAGCCTCAAAAGTGTTGCAGTGAAAAGTGTGGCTCACCCTGCCGACGATGGGAGCAATGGGCATGATGCTTGTTGGCTGTAAGCGTGATGTATGATTTGAGTAGTAAGTGTAGTGTGTACGAGGTGAGGAGAAGACGAGGGTTTTTGTGCGGGTCTGAGTTGAAATGTCAGGCTGATTAAGTAGTGAGCCTGACAATAAACGAGTCATGGTTCACCAAAACCAACGTCACGCTGCACCATGCACCACCCGCAAAGTACTCGCACTCGTACTCGCACCACATCGCTCTCTCTATACTCACTCACTCCCCTCCTCCCCCTCTCCTTACATTCAATCCACCTCTCTTCACTCCTTTTGACACTTTTCCTATCTCACACTTTCAATCCAGCTTCTCATCAAAACTCCTCTCCTCTTTCCGTTTCCACATCCCGCCCAAAGGCTGGCCACCAGAGTCAAGGAAACGGCCAGCGCCGCAACTCGACCTCTCTTCCACCAAAGCTTGACCCATCACATCTCCTTTGATTTTACCAACCACTTTGTCCTCTTATCTTCTTTGTCACACTCTACCCTATACCCCTACAGCACCGACATGGATGCTGAGCCAAGTGGCCAGTGGCGATTCGCCCAATGCTTTGGCGACAAGGGCGAGGTGGAAGATATCACAGAGGGTAAGTATGTTTCAAATCACCCTCACTCTCACAGCGTTCATCTCTGCCTCCCCTTTGTGAACTGATTTTTGACTGTCACGCGACACTGCGTGCTCTGCACCCTCCATGTCAAAGACGCTGACTTGACCACAGCCGACATCATATCAACAGTCGAGTTTGATCACACTGGTGACTATCTAGCAACAGGGGACAAGGGTGGTCGCGTGGTGCTTTTCGAGAGAAACGAACAGGTATGTCTCACACCGTCTAGGTCCCTGTGGAATGCTCACACCATGTCAGAAACGAGGTTGCGAATACAAATTTTACACAGAGGTGGGTGACCTTTTGCATGTCACCATGCTTGTGCTGACGCCGGCCCACAGTTTCAATCGCACGAGCCAGAGTTTGACTATCTGAAATCTCTAGAAATCGAGGAGAAGATAAATCGGATCAAATGGTGCAAGAGATCTAATGCTGCTCATTTCTTGCTCAGCACAAACGGTCAGTCCACCTGTCAAAAATTCTGTGTTTGTAGATTCAGACTGATGATGATAGACAAAACCATCAAGTTGTGGAAGGTTTTCGACAAGCAAATCAAAGTCGTGGCCGAGAACAATCATTCCGATGGTGCAGTTCCAGGAGGGCAACAACCCTTACGGCTGCCGAAAATGACTACTCACGACTCCATAACGGCCGCTGTACCACGCAAGGTGTATGCAAACGCCCACGCCTACCACATCAACTCTATCTCTGTCAACTCGGACGACGAAACGTACATATCTGCAGATGATCTGAGGGTCAATTTATGGAACTTGAATATCAGCGATCAAAGCTTCAGTCAGTCATTCCTTCCTCAAAGACCGCACAATACTGATGCAGGCAGACATTGTCGATATCAAACCCGTTAACATGGAAGAGCTCACGGAAGTTATCACCGCCGCAGAATTTCATCCCATCCATTGTAATCTATTCATGTACTCGAGCTCAAAGGGTACGATCAAACTCGCCGACATGAGAGAATCAGCCCTGTGCGATCAACATGCCAAACGTGAGTTGTGTATTTGATCAGTGAATGACTCTGATCCGTAGTGTTCGAGGAGGAGGAAGACCCCTCGACAAAATCCTTCTTTTCAGAAATCATTTCCTCCATCTCCGACGTCAAATTTTCTAGGGACGGCCGATACATCTTATCCCGAGACTACTTGACCTTGAAGGTCTGGGACATTGCCATGGAGAACAAACCGGTCAAGACGATCCAGATACATGAGCACTTGAAGCAAAAATTGTGCGACTTGTACGAAAACGATTGTATATTTGACAAGTTTGAATGCACATTCAGTGGCGACAGCAGGTGAGCCCGCGTGGTTTTTTGTGAAGAGGGTATCTTAATGCTGACCTTTTGCAGTAGTGTCCTGACAGGGTCCTATCACAATTACTTCCGGATATATGATGTCAACACCGACGCCGACACCGTGCTTCAGGCGGACAAATCGGCCTTTAAGGCGAAAAAGGTCAGCGGTGCTCGGGGCAAAACCCCAGTGCCAGCTAAGGGAGTCATGCAAACGGATCAGATTGACTTTGGCAAGAAGATAGTGAGAATCCGTTTTGGCCCTTGCATGCTGAGCTGACGCATTTCAGTTACACGCCAGCTGGCATCCACGGGAAAACACGATCGCAATCGCGGCCACCAACAACCTGTAAGCGTTGTTGCACAGTCGATGACAGGCATGTATCTGACTTGAACAGCTTCCTGTACTCTACACTCTCATAATCACATCCGGGCGATGCTCTAGCATCCAGCCCTGACGACTCTGATATACAATGTTTCCGAATAGATACCCTGTCCGACCTCTGATCTCTTACCAGCAAGCTCTGCATCGCCCTCGCGCCCGATGTATGAAACCAAGTCTTCTTTCTATTTTGCAATACCTGTGGGGGAGAGAGAGAAGGAATGAAAAGAAATGGCATATCACACTAGACTATTGACTGTGAACTGTGACGGATGGACATGTGGACGATGATGATGACGACGATGGTTTGGGAAGATGATAGGTGTAGAAGTAAGAAAAGAAAGAAGGAATGCAAGTTAGCAGAGTGCATTTAATAAGACTTTTTACTTCGTCGCAAATACAAAGATGCATCGACGTAAACAAAGACTTGGTAAAGCTCGCCACGTGGCTTTACTTATCCCTTTCCTATATCCTCATTTCGTAGTGTTCACGCGCCCGACTGACTTCTTTTCCCCAAGTCACACTCACATCTCATTCATCTTGTATACCCTTCCCGCTCTGCTTCACACGTCACAACCGCTGTCTTCAATGACGGCTGCGCTCGTCCCTACCCCTGTGACTTACACGTCGACCCGGATGGTCTCACAGATAGGACCAACACGATCTTCCGCCATGACACAGCTCGCCTTGCCAAATCAATCACCTCCGGAACACCGCGATTTTGATGCTCTGTGGGACAACGTTGACAAGTCTGTCGAAGAGCCAGACTTTCATTTTGACTGGCTGAGAACCAAGGACAAGCCTTCCAGCGATGAGGGCAATGGGTTGAGCAATCGATTAGCCGACCTCGACATCAACAGTATATCAACCCGAACACATTTGGCCGCGACACCGGCCTCCGCTTTATCCAAGACCACTTCGATGTTGAACACACCACCTTTAAGAAGCAACGCCTCTGACCATTCATCGTCATCCTCCGCCCATGTTCTCTCCCTCACCGACGCCTCCACCGCCTCTGCTTCCTCTATGGTGCCTACACCCCCTGATCACATGTTTGCCTCCAGCAGTCGTTCCATCGCATCAAGCAGCTATGAGCCGCTCGGCGGACCCAGCAAACCTTATACCGGTAGAACTTTCCAAAGAGTTGTCTCAGCACCCTTAGCTCGTCGTAAAGTGGATCCAGATCATCGGGAGGGTGTGAGTGCTTGTGCCAAGTCTGATCCAAAGTGTCAACTGACTTGCCAGATATTGACGAGTAGCACAGCTCATACTCAAACCGCAACATTTCGATCAGGACTAACTCATACTTCCTCAGCATCTTCCATCAACCAAGAGAACACATCTTCCACAATACAACCCCGGCATAACTTTGTCACTCCTGGTCTCACAGAACGTACATTTGGAGCCACGTCAACGGGCAGACGGTTGGGAGGTTTGTCAAGATTCGGACCACCCCGAAGGGTGATACCCTCTGCCGATGCGGAAGAGACCATGGTAGACGCTGAAGGTCGTGACAGCCCTGTGTTGGTCCGTGAGTGAACGTTGTCTTACTGCTAAGAAGACTCTGTGCTGACTTTGTATAGCCTCACCAAAGCTGGAGCCAGGATCCGGTTCCTTCTCCCGGGCGTCATCAATCTCTCCCGTTGAGAACCGTGCCCTCCTATCAGACGAGGTTAGGCGTACACAGCGACGCAGTCCGGTCGCTTCACATTCATTCTATCCTCCAATACATGAAGAGCCTTCACGTCCCTCCTCAATTTCCAGAGCCAGCTCAGTTGAGCCTGAAACAAAACATCGATATCGTGCTTCCGAATCCCAAGCCATAGATGCGGCCGACAGACCATATCGCCCCTTTGCCAGACCCGAAGACAGAGGACATCGACCGTTTCAAAGCACATCGTCGCATAGACCTTTGGATCAGATCGACTTCGCCGATGTACCTCGTCCTCAGACCAGCGGTGCCTTCAACAAAGCACCGCTTCCTCGAACTGACCGAGAACATCGAGTGTCCCCCGAACCAACACCTGCTCTCCGAGCAGCCCCCATTCCCGCCCCGGTACCCCAGCCGGAGCCACACGTCAATCATCCAGCTCCGACCATGGTCAACACCGCTCCTCAACTCAACGGAGATGCTACAGGTCATGCTGCCACCTTACCGGTCAATGCAGCCGCGACGACAAAGAGGTTCTTCTTGGTGAGTCAATGAAGGAACTTTGGATTGTGGGCTGATGAACAGGTCAATGGAGCTACCTACGAACGTATCGGGGTTCTAGGGAAAGGAGGTTCATCAAAAGTCTATTCTGTTCTCTGCCCCACAAAGCGAATCATATACGCTCTAAAGCGCGTTTCATTGGAACGTGCTGACGCCGAAACGTATCACAGCTACACCAACGAAATCGAGCTGCTCAAGCGACTCCGAGGACACGATCGGGTCATCCAGCTCATAGATCATCAGATCACGTTTACTCCGTCTAATCGACCGAAGATGCTCATGATGGTCAGTCTGGACTTGTTTGTCTGTGGCTATTCATGCTAACGATGCAGATTATGGAATGTGGCGAGATCGATTTTGCCATGTTGCTGGATGAACAACGTGGCAAGCGGCTGAATATGAACTTCATCGGTTTGTACTGGGAGCAGGTGAGTGACAGGAGATTGATGGATGAGGGATCCGGACTGACTTCTCCAGATGCTCGAAGCCGTCCATGCTGTCCATCTGCAGAATGTGGTACATACGGATCTAAAACCTGCCAATTTTGTCTTAGTCAAAGGTCGTCTAAAGATTATCGATTTTGGTATTGCAAAGGCTGTCGCCAATGACACTGTGAATATACAGCGAGATCAACAGGTACGTGAGAGACATCGTTAAGAAATGGACTGATCCTCAGATCGGGACGGTGAATTACATGTCTCCGGAAGCGATACAAAGAATGAACAACCAGAAGGTATTGAAGGTGAGCACGGTCAGGATCTCTTATGATTTGCCCTGCTAATAGCAGCTCTCATATCCTAGTGACGTATGGTCACTTGGGTGCATCTTATATCAAATGGTTTATGGTTCTCCTCCCTTTCAGCATATCGGCGGAGGTCCTTTGCCCAAGATGAACACTATCGCCGATCCAAATCATCGGATTGATTATCCCACAGTTTCCCTTCCAAAACATGCGACGGGCACAGACGGCAATCCTGTGGATCCGAACACGCTGGCGGTGACCGTCAACGCAGCTGCAATCGACACCATGAAGCGATGTCTGATGTATCGGAAAGAACATCGTTTGACCATCGAGGAGTTGTTGGAGCACGAGTTTTTGCGCCCGAAGACGACTGGTGAGTATCTTATCGCTCGATAACATACCGTGGCTGAGATAGCGTAGGACCATCTCTTCCCGCCGGGGCGACGACGATCACCAGTGAACAAATGGCTTTACTGGTGAATTTCGTTTTGAGAGAGAATGGATTGCCTCCTCCTGGTCCACAAGATACCACTGCCGAGGTGAGTCGAATTTGCGACACCTCTGTCGGGTTGAAAGCTGACTGGGATAGGATCTGTTTTCTCAATTACAAGCACAGAATTCTTTGTCAAGATGATGTTATGCTGTTTCTTGGAAGTCTTGTGCGATCTCCTAACATCATATCCTTGCATGATATACGCAATTTGTTCATTTTTGGTGGTTTACTGGTACATTATGCATCTGGTCTCAATCCTCCACATACTTCTGTTCCACCCTACTTTTTACAATCTCACCATTCTACGGAGCCCTCAGTCGAAAGAAATGTCCATGAGATGCCAAGAATGTACTACCAAAATAAGAGTATCTTTGCTCGCTGTCCTTCTGTTTTTTGAACCAACACTGAATCCACTACCCAGATACGAGACGAAGCTTCCAATTACTGCTGAAGATTGCGAAGCCTGTACAATTATTCTGGTAAACTAACTGCACTACCGCCCATGACCTTGATCGGACATATCACCAGCTTGTAATTCTTCCCCTTCTGCCGACATGGATCTATGATACACGGCTCTCTGAGGAACGTGCATCCTGACCAAACTGATGGTAGGCGAAGATCCAACGCTGATGGAAGAGGTCGAAAGATAATCTTCCCTCAACAACTCTATCGATCCGTCCTCTCTCACGTTGACACTAGGGTATAAAGAAACTCTTTCTTCATTTCCTATTCCTTTTCCTCTCGCCATTCCTCTTCCACCGCCATGAGGAGAAGGAGAACAAGATCTTTCACGTGGTACACTTCTCGGTGGATGTGAGTCGAAGGAATATGACCAACGTGCACTTGTTGGAATAGGAGAAAGGATAGGTAAACTAGGTGAAGTAGTTTGGAATGGTAAGGCTGATGCAACTGGAGCAGGAGCAAGTGGAAGAGGACGAGGTTCTGTTCTACGAGATGGAGGTGGTAAAAGATGACCATCAGCAGAAAGGATTGGGAAAGTGAATGAACCGTTTTCCGAATTTGGAGAATATGGGGAAGGTGATCGACTCGAATGTGTCGATTGTACCCCAAGAGATTCATGTGTATGATGAGAAGAATGAGAAGAGTGAGAAGATTCCGAGGGAAGAGGTAACATGCCTTGAGAAGCGAGTGGAGATAACGTTGGTCGTCGAGGTGGTTGAATAGGTGAAGGGGAAACTGGGACTCTGGTAGAAGGTCGAATAAGTGGAGAACCTAAATGTGACATTGGACGTGTTGGTATTTCTTGTGATCTTTGAGACTTTTTTCTAGCTCTGAGGAAACGGACTAGGTAAATGGTACCGAGGATAAGAAGGACTGATACACCTTGAACATAAGCGATATGAACATTTATATTTCTCTTCTACCCCATTGACTATTTGTTCTCGTTCCCTGGCACATGATCGTCTCGGGCACTGTAACAGCTGGTACGTTCTTCGCCCCTACCATTCCCAACTCAAGTCGGGTGAACGTGAATCGTCCCCTCCATCACCAACACCATAATCCGGCCGCTCCACTTGATTAGAGCAGGGGCAGATGGAGGCACGCCACAGAAGTTTGAGAAGGAAGTATGTATATGGATGACTTGAATTGGGAAGAGTAAGGGAAGAAGACAGAACTCACAGAATACCGATGCGGCCGCTACATAAGCTTTATCTTCTTTACTTAGAGTGGCACATGGTTGTCCATTTGAATCGTACGTTTGACCATTCTGCGTCGTGTCAATACTAACTCATTTTCCTCCTAAGTTTTCGATATCCAACCTTTTCCCATCCTTCGACCAAACGAGTAAGACTCGAAGACGTCTTGGCGTCATACAATCATCCGACGAGATAGACGGAAATCATAAAATGACACACTGTTGGAGGGAGAGAGATTGACAAGGAGCGGAAAGAACGCACCATATTACCGTCGTGATAAGCACAACCTCTTCTCCCCACTCCCGTGTTCAACGAGGGCATTATGGGTTTAGACAGTTTCGAAAATGCTTGACAACGCGCTGAGGTGACGATTCGTGTAGACTCTACTCTGGATACGATTTCACTTCAAGTTCTTAAAATCGGTCAAGTATAATAAGACTTGGCTTTCAACCCGCCATCTCCTTGAAATATGCATGACATGTCAGTAGTCATCGGACCGTCCGGCGGGATAAGTCAGTTCCTACACTTTTCGTTATGGATTTCTCAGGTACGTGTCAACAGTGGCACACTTTTTGGACTTACGTTCAGCGTGTTTCGTTAAGCGATGGGCCATGAGGTTCAGCGGTCAGCATGTATACAGGAGACAGAGCAAATGACCCGCGGTGGTGGGTGAAATGGAGGAACATTGGTCAAGTCGTGGTGGACGGGGCAACTTGTCGACCAAGGTGACTGCATGTACAGTATAGGCTCGCGGCAGGGATCTCTGTGACTAGGCTCGTGTGGGTCTGTTACGTAAAGCTTCGTTGCACGACTTCGTATACCTCCGCTCTCTCGACGCATGGAAATGTTAGCTACATATGCAAATCTATGTATCTACAATATAAATCTAGTAGATACAATTTCTGACTTCTCCAAACCCCACACTTAAGGTGTCTAAGATCTAGGACGAACAGCGCCACCTTAGTACCTCACCGTGAAGCGCAACTTGCCAGAAGCCTGCGCCTCGACCTTGACCTGTTCCATCGTCTCCACGATGTAATGCGCCCCGAGCCCTTCGATCTGTTCACGTTGGTGAGACGTACAAACGGCAATGACAATGCTACCCGCGGCAACCGCAGCTTTGATACCAGAAGGCGAATCTTCAAAGATGACTGAATGGGTGGGATCTACACCGAGGTCTTTGGCGGCCAGGAGGAAAGGGTCAGGGAACGGTTTCCCACGTTCCAGACGAGGGTCATCAGCTGTCACGCAGACGTCGGGAATCTCGATTCTGTCGTTGTCAGCGACATGACATATTCTTACAACTAAAACTCGAGAAGACGATGAAGAGACTCACTCGGTACGGGTCAAACAACCGTGACAGTAAGTCTTGGCGCCGGAGGTAGCGACGGCGTATTTTCCCTTGGGAAGCGAGTTCATGAGCTTGCGGACGCCAGGAAGAATACGCACGCTCATGTCGATAATGTCATCGTCGTCGAAGGGCGAGTCGTCGGTTTCGTTGTACCCCAAAGCAGGCTCGGCTTCCTGTACTTTTGTCAAGGCCATCGAGAGCGCCGAACCGAGCGACATGGACCCTTGACGGGATCGAGGGGTGGGAGGCTCAAGAGGGGTCATTGGAGCCATCGACGACATGGTGGAAGCACTGATAGAACTGAGCGGGGTGGAAACCATGGAGTTCTTTCTGGAAGACGCCATCGAGTTCTTGCGAGAAAGAGGGGGAGTGTCGGCAAAGGCGAGAATGGATTTCTCGAAACCTGTGAAACATGTCAGGAAACGAAGTTGATTACATTCCCGGCGTACTCACGGTCAACTTCTACCTCAACATGTTCCGGTTTCAAGTTCGGGACAAGACTCATGAGGTTGTCACTGGCTCGACGTCCATGGGTGGCGGCGATGACTGCCTTTGGTTCAAGACCGAGTTCGTGGGCCTTTGCCGTCCATGCGGCTTCGACGGCGGCGATAGAGTCGGTGAGAGTTCCGTCCTGACGTAAGTCAGCGAGAAGATCAAATTGCAAGTGAAGACTTTACTCGCCATGTCAAAGAGTACGCCATCGACTTCGAACGTGGCCACCTGAAAGGAATGTGGCGAGACTTCTCGTGGAGAGTGAGCGGGAGTCATCATCAATGCGGACATGATTGTTGCGTGTTTGCTGTAGAAGGGCGAGTGAGGAATGAGTCAGAGTAAGAGTCAATATGACGAAAGAATGTCAGTCAGATGGGAAGCCCGAGGGAAGAGAACGATATTTATACAGTAACTTAGGTGAGAAACAGCAAAGCGGGGCGTGTTGACACGATCTGCTGCTAGCAGCTAGCCTGCTTTGGATCATGGGAAACACCGGGGATCGCAGGGTAGAAAGGGAGGGTGGTGATATCGATCATGAGCGGTGGGGGTGCGCATGCCGACGTGGCAGGATAGTCTGCAAGGGCAGAAGAGGACGATGAATTTGAGCAAGACCTCATTCCTCGCATTGATCGAACACGCACTTGTTCCACTTTGAATGATTCCCTCCCCTCAGGGTAATTTGCATCTATGATGTCACCTTTTACCTTTTCCCGCACTTTTCCCACGAAACCAGAAAAAGAGGGTCATAGCGTCGCCAACTGCCACATGGACATGTCTTTTGTCGCAAGCGGTAACATAGCCGCTCTAGCGTCAATCTCTCACGCACGGCCCCCGTTAGCGGCAGCTTCCTCGGACCTCCGACGGTTTTCTGAGATCTGTGAAAGCCGACGTACGCCGCCACGTTCGACATTGTTCGGTTAGGAGAGCGACACCCACTTTGCGGAGCCCCAGGAATGTGAACGTGACGTGGCACTTACTGAGTCTGAGTTTTGATTGATAAGCAAACGGGATGGGGGAAATCCTCTTTCTTTCTCACCACCACTACTCCTTCATCTTCTCTTTCATATTCAAACTTTTCCCCAAAGTCTCCAATCTAATCACCAAAAAAGCACTCTCACCATGGTCGTCAAAGTCGGAATCAACGGTTTCGGTGAGTACAAGCGTACAATCAGTCTCTTGCTATGTCCTTTTCCAGGAGAAACTGCTACCCTACGCCCCGTTACCCACGTAGTTCATCTGCATTCCTCACATCTCGCTGATCCTCTCTCCTTCCCCCCTCCCTTCAGCTGGATGGCACATTCTTTAGATCTCTCACTCGAGATGTGGATACATACTGACGTATAGGTCGTATCGGACGTATCGTCCTCAGGTGAGGGACATCACAGGGCCTCTCGCCACTCCTTTCTTCTTTGTTTCTTTGTTTCATTCTTTCATTTGCTTTGCTTTGTCAGCGGCTGACGTCGTCTTCAGAAATGCCATCGAGCACGGTGACATCGAGGTTGTGGCCGTCAATGAGTGAGTCAGATCTACCATGCATTACAGGAGCATGCTGACGAGAAAGCCCCTTCATCGAGCTTCACTACATGGTCTGTGCAATCCCCCTCATGACATCGTCAACTAACCCTCTAGGTGTACATGTTCAAATACGATTCCGTGCGTAGTCTCCCCGTGTGATGCTAAAGTCACTTATTCTTCAGACCCACGGCCGCTTCAAGGGTACCGTAGAGTTCAAAGATGACAAGCTCGTTATCAACGGCAAATCCATCGCCGTCTTCGGTGAGAGGGACCCCGCAAACATCAAATGGGGTGAGGCAGGTGCAGAGTACATTGTCGAGTCCACTGGTGTCTTCACAACTACCGAAAAGGCCGGCGTCCACCTCAAAGGTGGTGCCAAAAAGGTCATCATTTCTGCCCCATCCGCCGATGCCCCCATGTCAGTTGATCCAAGTTCTACCTGACGCTGTTGCTAAGTCCTCCAAGGTTTGTCTGCGGTGTCAACCTCGAAGCGTACAAACCCGAATACCAAGTCATTTCCAACGCATCATGCACGACCAACTGTCTTGCACCCCTCGCCAAGATCGTTAACGACAACGTGCGTCATCTTCTTAGTAGTCATCGCGTCAACTGATCCGCAGTTCACCATCGTTGAAGGTCTTATGACCACCATCCACGCCACCACCGCCACTCAAAAGACTGTGGATGGACCCTCAAACAGTGTGTACGCCAATTCGCGCGTCCACTCAAACTGACGTTGCTAGAGGACTGGCGTGGAGGTCGGGGAGCTGCGGCCAACATCATTCCCTCCTCCACCGGAGCTGCCAAGGTTTGTCATCCTCTCGATCAGGGTGATGTTCACTGACCCAAAGGCCGTCGGCAAGGTCATCCCTGCCCTCAATGGCAAACTCACTGGAATGGCCTTCCGTGTGCCCACGTCTGACGTCTCTGTGGTCGACCTGACCTGCCGCATTGAGAAGGGGGCCACCTATGACGAGATCAAGGCCGTTATGAAGAAGGCAGCTGAATCCCCCGAGTACAAGGGAATCTTTGCGTGAGTGGCCTCAGTTTGGAATGGAATAATCGTTGACGTCATTAGCTACACTGAGGAAGATGTTGTGTCGACCGACTTTGTTGGCGCCACCGAATCTTCCATCTTTGACGCCAAGGCCGGTATCGCGCTCAACAAGAACTTCCTCAAGCTCGTTGCCTGGGTATGTCTTGAGTGCGGTATGAGACATGAGCTGATAGATCTAGTACGACAACGAATACGGATACTCTCGTCGTGTGTGTGACTTGATCTCTTACATTGCTGCCGTCGATGCCAAAGCCAACTAGAAATGTGGGTAAGATTGGTCATAACGCGATGTGAATGCGAAAACGTTGGACGTGATCATGATAGTTGAATATGCAGACATGTTTATAGAATGGGGTATGAGCGAGCGCAGGTGAGCGCTGGGTCTGGCTACACTACGAGTATTCTACTCTACTCACGTAGTGACGCGGAATGAGACTAATGTTGGGTGCCACCAATGCTTAATGCTCCAACGGCAACCGGTTTCTCCTACTTCCTTTAGTCTCTCAACTTCACCTGCTGTTCAGTTTTGTGACCACTCCTCCCAGCTCTAGTATCACGCCATCTGACCCCTGACACCACTGCCAATCTCTGTATACATCAACAGCGGCACTGCCCCCCCTCCCCATGGATCCCCCCGGGAAGCGTTTCTGGGAGACTCGCGACCTCCGTCGCTTGTTCTGGTCTTTCGTAGATCCGTCTGCGTCCAGCCACGCTAGCTTGTTGCTCATTAGTAAATACTCTTTCGACGAGGCTCTCGCCGTCACCTATCATGACTTGTCCGATCGGAAATATGATGACTTTGCGCGATGTGTGGCTGACGAGGTGAGTATGGCTCACGTTATGTTCTTTGGTAGCCTATATATTGTCATATTCACTCTCTCACTCTCTCACTCTCCCTCCCCACTTTATCCCTACCTCTACTCTACTGATCTTTCCTTTGACCTCCAATCTCACGAATGTTCTGTCCAATCTTCCTCACACAACGACTCCTGTAATCGTCTTCCTCCCTCGTACCACTGATCCCTGTCTGATCCCAAGTAGCTCACGAATGACTAGCTTACTGATGCGATAGGAAAGACGCAAGATGTACCTATCAGCCGTCAGAATCGTCCGCGACGCTCATTTTGAACGTGACGAAGACATCACATACATCAGAACCGACATTGACCAAGTCATCTCCCGTTATCCAAATTTCACCACAACCGATTGCGGTACAGATTCTCCTCGACTCCTTCGAACTATCAACTCCGACGGATCGATCAAATACCTTTTCAAAGAAAGTTTCGGAGGTTCTATCTTGTATCTCAATGAAGATATCGATATCCCATTGGGTCTACCTGATTACGTTGAACATGGTGGTTTGGATTCACAAATCGTGGAAAAAGCAATGTTTGAAGATCATGAAATGGATACAAACGAAAGTGATTTATTCGATATTTGGAGGAAAAAAGAAGGTTTAATGAAATATTGGCCGATGGAAAAGATCGAAATTGAATTTGGAGTGAACCTGGATAATTTGGCTGAACATTTAGAAAGGTTGAAAGAGAATCAACCTGATGCCTTACCAAATAAACTTCAAACTTTGGTAGAAGAAAATTACACAATGTCAAATTTGAAAAGGATAATGAAGATAGCTTCTGAATGTTTTGAAGAGATAATATTGCGTAATTCTGATGGAATGAGAGTGAACATTTCCATTGAAGAAATCTTAAATTCGAATAACTCATTCTGGGGAAAAGGTAGAAAACTCAAAAAGATTTGCTTGGCAGTAGCTGTACAACCACCTTCCTATCGTATTCCTCCAAAGGAAGAAGAAATCGAAATCGAATCGGACGATATTTCCCAAGATGAGCAAGAGGGTGAGGAGGGGGGAGGGACACCAGGTTTACCTTTAGATTTGCACGAGTTAACCTTCACACTCGACGGCTATCCAGATAATCCAAAACCAAGTTCGACACATCATCATAATACACGTTGGCAAGATTGGAAAAATTTCTCACCGCCTAAAATCAACCTTCCACCAATGGACGAATTAGCAGATAAGATGCTCAGAATCGGGGGACCTTTTTGTACATATCGCATTGAAATACCTCCGAATCACGAATTGGACACAGTTGAATTCCACGCTGATCCATCCGTCGCTTGGCATTCTTCCGTCACTCTCACTCAATTGTTCACTTCTTTATTACAGAAACAAGTGAGGGCGATTCTCGATCGAGGTCATGAGGTTAATCCTACACAAACGGGACAGGTCGGATGGAGAAAGTTGGAAAAGGGGGGAAAGTGACCATGATCCGACCTAAACTGTGCCGCTCGCTCCAGCTTTCATACACATACGGAATCTTCGTCTATCTATCAGCTTTCACTCATATCTTGCTTCTCTTGCTATCTTGCTCAAGGTTGGAAATCGGTACATATCATATTTCAAATTCGGCGGTGAATGAGTGTTGAAGCATCGAGGCTATGTCTTAATTGATGTTTTGGTTGTTGGAAGAAGTAGGGAAATTGTTGCAAAGACGGAATGCATATCTGAAAGACTACCCGCCTCACCTTTCACCCTTATACTGATCACGCTGCAATCATCACCTCCCCTCCAGCATCTTTCTTCAGGATGTCATTCAATCTCTCCCTCTGTATACAATTCTCAAAAGCGAAACTTTTCGCCAATTCTTCCAGTTCGTCCTTACTCTTATCGCAAAAATATTGGGCGTACTCGTGAACCAACTCTTCCTGAATTCCGATCAGTCCTCTCCACTGTGTTTAGCTCGGAACACTTACAGAAAGTAGTATCTCCCTCACCATCCTACTCACGTGTCGAGACATTTTCCACATGGGCGGATAACGTTTCTCGTGGTTCACGTTTGAAATGTTTTCTTCAAGCCAATTGTTCAGAGGGTCGAAGATATGTTTTACGTTCTCCTCATCTACTGCCCATGCATCTACTGCTAAACGCTAAAACATCAGTCTTACACTCGTTTATCTTCCACCCCAACACAAGAACGATCAAGGAATGTCAGACTCGAACATCTCACTCGCCTGTGATAACACAGAGTTGATAGGAACGTAGAGAGCAGTGTTTTTCGATGAGTGGAAGATCGACTTTCAAAAACTCACCTTCTTTTTGTCTAAGAAAGGTCCAAGGAGTTTCATATACTCCGTATCGGGATTGACATACATCTTCCCTTGAAACCCAATATCTTTATAGAGCCAAATGGACCAACTGGCCTTTGCTTGAGCATAGATGCTCAATTGATGTTCCAATACGGCGTATCGGGACTGGTTGATTTGTTCGTGATTACTGTCGGAGGATGATGCGTAGACCGGACCGAATTCACCATCTATGTGTCAGTGTCGTTACATCTCTTCATCCTCGTTTCAGCTTTCTTATTGATGACCATGGCCGCAGGACTTCTGTCCATCTTGTGTACAAAGCCAAGAGGAGCTAAGAAAAGAGTAGTGACAAGACAGGTTCAAGTCCGAGTGGGATGGAAGAGTTACTCACTCCAGATAGGACCACCGATACGTCTCATATATTCCACTTTTCTATCAAACGACTTTCGATGATGCGCTACCTGGTCTGGTTTACCCTACTTCTTCAGCCACAACGTGATTCCCTCTGCCATTCCAGCTTTTGAACAACGAAACACTCACAGTAAAGGGAGCTGGGGCATCGGGAAACCCATATCTATCTTGTCAGAACCAGTCGACGAGGATATCAGATCGAAAGGAACGAAACGACGTTTAAACCAAGGGGAAAGAGCTGAAAGAAAAGGAAGAAAGATGCATGGTTTGACGTACATGGAATAATCATGGCATGCGTATACGCAATTCGGTAGAGGATCTCCAAACCGACTCAAATCTTCACCGAACGTACTTTCTGTCAGTCACGTCACTTGTCCAGGTCATCATCTCACTTTCCGCTGAATGTCAACACTTGTTCAGACCACCAAAAAGGAACCCACTCTAAGAATAAAATGTGATCCGGGTCCACGGCTCGGATAGCTTTTTCTACCCTTTGGTAGAAGCTCAAGAGTCTGACATGCTCCGAGTCGGTAGGCTCGTTGAGGGGGTTATAGCCTGCGACCCAGGTATTGCCCTTGTAGTGCTGATCATAAGCATACCGGGTACCTCTTTCGCTCGGAACACTTCCCGAAAGGAGTCTCTTTCCGACAACGATATCGTAATGTGAAGGGGTGGTTTTGTCATATAACATCAGGACAGGAAGGGCACAAAGTCACGATCGAAGTAGTGGGTGAGATTGGGACGTACCTCAGCCAAATGCTCCCAGATGGCAATAGCCCGATCTTGGAAATCTTTGTGTACCCAGACTTACATAAGCTCACTCTCCTTCAGAAAATGCGATGACTTACAGTTAGCCTGATGATTACCAGCATCACAATGCCAGTCAATATTTTGGCCTCCGGGAGCGGAGTGGAGGTCTATGATGGTATATATACCATGTTTGGCGCACTGTTCGGTTACATACTTGCTCAATGGGATTGATAGTCGTTGAAGATGGATGATCCCATGATGAAGATGAAGGTCGGGAGCTTACCAGGTCAATCACTCGATCGAGATGCTTCAAACCGTCAGATTTGAATACCCGAGGATTGGAATCATCTTCGAAATGACGATAATTGACCTAAACTTCAAAGACGTTTCTGCCGTTTGAAAGAGTGTACGCACGGGAAGACGCAGACAGTTGAGACCTAAAGAAGCGATAAATGCAGCATCGGCTTTTTGAAAGAAGTATTCGAGGAACTATCGATGAGTGCTCGCCATTGAATAGCCGTGTGAACCATTTGCCAATCCATCGTATTCCCCGACATGGACAGCTCATGAAATGAATAGCACGAGATGATGGAGCTCGGGAGAGATGACTTGCCTTGTCAAAGAAAAACTCATACTTGTCCTGACCCATCGTTGTACGCAGAGCTGCGCGCATCTGATGTTCGTGTCCCGGATAACCAGTTATGAAATTCTCCATGTTCACTTTTACTCAGTGATTTCTTCGCTTCCTCCTCAAATGACTACACTCACTCCATCCTCCCAAGCCAGCACCTGAGGTTAACTGAGTGTCTTTCCTTGAAGATCTGGCTTACCCTTGAGTACGATAGGCTTTCCTGAGAGTGTAATGTTAGATCCTTCTACTCTGAGAAATTCCACTTCTCTCTGTAATGGTGACATGATCAGTGTGAATGGGACGTTGGAGATGTCAGGATAAACTGCGCGATTTATAAAAATAAAGAATCCAGCTACAAGACCTCGAGGCAGGTCAAGATGCTCAACAGATCACCCACTGTTACCGGCGCATTAATCGTCATATCCCCCGAGACCACGTCAGAAATTGGAGATTCAGTAAGGAAGAAAATCCTGACAGATCTTGCATCAGATAAATCACAGGACAGAACCTACCGTACACCCGAACCTTCTAAAATCCCAAGACATGATATCATAATGACGTTCTAGATGCGATCGGCGGTGTTTCCTGTCGATGGGGAGAGGTGGGGCGGCTATCAACTTGAGGGTCTGGGGGTGGGGGCATCTGGACAAAGGTTATGGCGGAGAACTGTTGCGTCAGGTCGATCAGGAAACGATACTTCGTGAGACTAACCATGTTGCACCAATCCCGAATGAGCTCTTGATCCGCATTGGGGAGCGCTTGCGATACCAAGGCGCAAGCAATGTGGAATACTTTTCCCCGGACCGACTCCCCGTTGGAGGCCATGTCTTCGACGGGTATACTGCCATGTAAGACTCTGACTACGACGGAATAAGAGAGACAGACGTACTCCATAAGGAGCGAATGGATTTCTCGCGCTATATCTTCTCTTTCCCTCCGTAAAGAATTCTCATTTCGGTCTAGAGCCGCTCGTAAGTCAAACTGATTGTCAGCGTCACCATTTGAATACAACGGGCTATGAAGGGTCCTATCAACAACGCACCAAAGCAAACTTGGCGATGGCTGCTGTGATGAGGATATTGGCCCTTTGCATTCCGAAGACTCGTTTCATCGATTCCTCTTTCACCAACTCAGGTCTTGAAATAGCTTCCGGGGTACCCTCCAGCAACCGTTGCAGGTTCCCTTCAGCCTCTGCAATCCAACTCGGACTGACCGATCCCATCTCTGATTGGATACAACGATGATGGAAGAATGCTTTGGAAATGATCTTGAATACTTGCGAAATGGCGACGAATCCGACGAGAACAGAGGTACGTGTGGGAGGTTGGGGGAACATGCCTTGGGGAGTAATGAACTCGTCGTCAATAGGCGCAGGAAGAGACGGTGTTCCTTGAAAGTCGTTTATGAGCATGGGAGGGCCTGGAATAGCTCGAGTTCTTGCAATTTGTCAGCCAACTACACAATGTGGCCTGTGCAAGATGCTCTCTCCTGTTGCGGAGAGAGTCAAGGACGAGGTACTCACTTGTCGCTGGCATATAGCTGCCAGAATACCCGTCGTCGGAGCTGAGCCTCAATCGCATCGACGCCCAAAGAAGCAGTCTTGCAGTCGCTGTGTATCCCCATGCAGTAGGCCAGCTGCACTGCCTGACCCAATCTAGCTCCAGCAGTATGACTCAACCCTATGGATAATAGGTAGAAAGTGTCACTGTCCTCAGCCCACATTCCTGCTAAGCGTGGGTTACCCACAATATGATAGTGCTGATTTGTGTGAGATTGGTCTGACCATAATAAGTACCCTGTAATGTCCTGCTTGTCCTATGGCAACGCCTTTGCAGATGCTTTAGCTCGTCAATGTCAAAACGTTCATTGACCAGTCTACTGGTGGGGAGTTGAGAGATGACATAGGCGACTATCTGTTGGTACACGAATCAAGACAGTAGTAAAAATCTCACCGATGCTCAGTAAGAGTGCCCGAAAATCAATATCTCTCAGATCACGCCTCGTCGCCAAGTTTTCGGAGAATGTTGGTCGATGTACCAAGGGAAGCAGAGGGTAGAGATATTGCAAGAAGAGAGATATGAAGTGACTGATATCTGCCCAACTTGTCACGTCCTCAAGTTGAGGCTCTCTCTTAGTCGGATGAACCAGGTGGTTGAGGTTACTAGAGCTTGAGGCTGCGGCGAGCACAAGCTCTGGGGATTCTAAAGAGAGAAGATGAGCTTGTTCTGAGGGGTATTCCGGTGGACCAAGCATATCAGGTGCATCTGCGGCAGAGAGCCATCCAGTGTCTAACATGGCGTCCAGCCAGAAGATGCTGTCGTTCTTGTCTTGTGGTGAGATGACAAATGAGGAGTAAGGACGACCATAATGACGTGTGTCGTTGAGGGGAGACTGCGAGGAAGACGACGGCTGAGTATCACTACGTGGACGGGGCGCTTGCGAGGGGATATAAGGGGAGGGTAGATGTCCTTTGCGATGGGGAGGCAGCTCAGGATGATCAGGTTGATAGGAGGACGAGGAAGAGAAAGATCGGGGATGTGTTGAAGCCTCGTCGGCACCTCGACTAGAAGTCATGCTCAAGACGAAACTGCTGCTCTCAGCGTCGGGGTTCACACAACAAGAGGATTTCATGCATACTCACGTGCTCTTCCTTCCTGGCTTTTTGCGTACATAATCATATGTGCATGAGACTCGGAGCTTGTGACATCCTTGGCAGGGTTCTTCTTGGTTGACGGGATCAGACACACAACGAATCTGCTTGGGTGAGCACTGTGAGCGTGAGACGACTGAGAAATGTGGCATACCTTGCGCTTACGGCAATTGTCACATGTCCTCGGTGATCTCGAGGTCATGTCAGTCATAGATAGAGGAGGGGGCGGAGGAGGAGGAGGAGGAAGAAAAAGTGATGGCCAAAGAGGGAGGATGGATGGCCTTCCACTGGGTCCAGGTAGTTGTACAACAAGTGCCCGAGAAGGGGGAAATGTGGAGGACCCCCCTTTGAAGGGAGCGAGAAGTGAAAGGAAGCGATATTAAGATAGACGGGGATCTGTAAGAACACAAGAGTATGGAGGGTGTATTACAGACGAAGACATAGGACATGTATGGGGGGGGGGGGGGGAGGATGAGAGAGCTGATACTTTGAGTGGTAAGAGTAGACTAGATAGATGCTTCTGATGGGGGAATTTGGGATAGAAAAGGGAAGCGATCCGAGCGTCGGTCGGTGTGGCAGGTGGCAGGTGGCAGGAGTGGGGGAAGAAAGTGGTCCAAATCTGGAGCCCCGGCTGAGAGATTCTGCAGTGGTCACGTGACCCCATCCCCACCCTCGCGGTCGCGTGTCTATTCGTCTTTCGTCTTTTCGTATTTCGACTTTCTCTACTCGTACTCGTACACTCTGCCAATCTCCTTCCTTGACTCTATATACTTGACCTACGACAACAGCCCTTCTCATCATGAGCCATACATCTGTCAGCTCCAGCTCCACCCTCATCTCCCCTCATCCATCAACGGCTTTCATTCCTCATTCACAACAAGTGTGGGCCAATCCCATCATCAAACAGAGCATCCTCAGCTACCTCTCCGTTACACATCTTAAACGGGTCCTTGTTCTCGACAAAGCTACCTTGCAAGATACTGTCATCCTCCTCTATCGGTCTTTTCATCACGTCAATCTTCCTTCCTTTCGTAAAAAAGTCGTCGACCCCGTGAGTTTGTTCCTCCTCTGCTCACCCCACACACGCTCACCCGCTAGGACCGAAAGTCTATGTACCTCGGAGCTGTCCGTGAGGTCGTCATCAACGTGACCAGTCAGCGATCCATCACAGGTCTCCGAAGGACCTATCCTCATCATACCAGTCTTCGTTCGCCCACCTCCATGGAGATCATGCTCTATCGTGCCTCTGGTCCCTACCGTGCATTCCCGGATTCCGTCCCTGCTTATCGTATGGTCTACCATTCTTTCGGTCCCCGAGGTAAAGCTCGAGTATCTTTTCAAACGACAGAGACGTGGAGCGTCCGAATCGACTCTCAGACGTTACCGTATCAACTCGAAATGGTACCGGTCTCTACTGTGAAACTCTCCGAATACTTGCCACTTGCCTGGGTCGTCGAGCACGAGACGGGTTTGGTGATACACAACCAAGCTCCCGAATGGGATGCCTCAAAGATTTTGCGACACCTATGGCGAAATGCAAGAGGCCCGTTCGTGACACCGAGGAAAGAAATCAGAATCGAAATATTGGTGGACGTAGCCGATTTCTTGGAATGCCTCCGTGATGTACGGGACGACCTTGAAAGACCTGGCCGACTAGAGGGTCTTGAAACTCTGACAATCGCGTGCCGCTTGTTCGACTCCGAGGAGATTGCAGAAATCATTAGAGTTCTCCCCACCTCTGTACGGCATCTCAGCTTAGACATGAGTCACTCGCAAACCATGGCCCACCTTTGGCCGCGGACCAGCTTCACCGGTGCTCTCACACTCGAAGACCTTGTACAAGGGCCAAGTCACATCTGGAACGGTTGTCATCACATCAAAACACTTCATCTCTGCCTCTATCACCCTCTTCTTCACGGTCAGGACATCTCTTTCCTCAACATGTACGATTTTCGAAAGACCTGCACCAGACTCAAGACCCGACACGAAGCCAAAACGAACACGCTACAATACCTTGGCCGACCTCTAGATCTCGACTGTCTGGAACTGGTGTACGCGTGGCCCTTTCTGGACATGATCCTCCCGGATTACCAGTTCGAGGAGCATAGCAGCCTCAGGGCTGACGACGAACTCCTCGAACTTCTTCGACCAAGCGACCACACACTGCGTAACTTGATGGCATTCACGGGCAAGAACTGCATCACCCGTTTCAGATTTGTGGTGTCATTTGACTATGACGGTGACGACTTCCTCGAGGGCGAAATGGGTACAGAACTCTCACTTTATGTGCAACAGCGCTGTCGTGCGTTAAGTATGGAGGAACAGTGACGGCGCTGGTACGGGACGATTCTTGATCTGTGTCAGCGGTACTGACCGAGTTGGCGAGGAGTTGCGGACATAGGGTGACATGACATGTAATGCTCCGGCGTCATGCCCAGGCACCGCCGCACTGAGCGTAGATACTGGGTCGCACCTTTTTTCATGGAGGCTTTGATCTGTGTGACGCTGGTTGGTTGCATCCTTCTTCAAAGATGGAACCGGACCACAAAAATCTGTAGGTGAATTGAGGGGCATTGAATGCATGCTGACCCTGCCAGAAGCCTCAGATCACAGAACGGTCGAGTTGCTAAGCGCACCTGACGATAATGTCTAACCTTTTTCCGCCCTTCGCACGTGCGATGACCTCCCATGTCCATCGTGTCTAATTCTGGACCACTTGCTAGCTTCCAAGCCGTCTTCGGATCTTCCGGTCATCAGAAACCGTCATCACCTTCTCTTGGCCCTGAAATTCCCATGTCGAGCATGACGTTGATGAATCTGCGGCTCGATGATTGGTGGACAGGATGGTGGATGGACTGGAACGTGCTTCCACACTACTGATGATCTCTCACCTCTAACCAAGGCGTTCCCTGTCAACTGTCACTCGTTGTCGACTGTAGCACGAGTACAAGATGGCACCGTTCACTGTAGCCATGCACCCCTCGACCTACTCCCCATTATTGCCGCATAACGATTCAAAAGGGCACCCATCCCATCGCCCATCTCAAACCCATCATGATGTTTGTAGCTGCCATTCTTCTGGGGGTCTACCTGACCGAGTCGACTCATGCTCTCCCTCTCGAACCGTACGTCGACACGGCCTACCCTTACAAAGGTCCCAAGATTCCCGTTGGAGACTGGGTCAACCAATCGCCTAGTTTCTACTCGGTGGGAGGATTTCCTCGTCTCACCGAACCTCCGGCGGTGCTTCCTCATTCCCCCAACCCGACCAACAATATCAATGTCATTTCGATGGCTTACATGCCTAATGGCATGCATATACACTTCCAGACACCCTTTGGGATTGGAGGTGAGCCTTGCGTCAATTGGGGAACATCGATCGGGACTTTAGACCAAACCACCAAAGGTTGGACCAGGACGTGAGTCTTTCTCGTCCTCGTTCAAATCTTTCATTTCATTGAACATTCGCCTCCATTTACAATCGATTTCATGCTCGGCAAGCTGATCAATCGATTTGCTGAGACGTACAGAGCTGATCAATAGCTACGATCGTACCCCTTCATGCAGCGAGGTCGATGCCGTTACGCAGTGCTCCGAGTTCTTTCACGAAGTTTCCATCACCGGTCTTCAACCTGCCACTCAATACTTCTATCAGATCCCAGGAGGGAACGGCACCACACCTTCCCCCGTGATGACATTCACCACTGGTCTTCCAGCAGGTGACAAAACGTCATTCTCCGTCGCTTACCTCAACGACATGGGGTACACCAATGCCAAAGGCACTCACGACCAACTTATCCAAGCCGTAGCCGAAGGTGTATCTTTCCTTCACTTTGGGGGCGACATCTCGTACGCCGATGATTGGTACAGTGGTGTATTACCCTGTGATCCTACTTGGGATCTTTGTTATAACGGTACTGGGACCGTCCTTCCTGGACCGGCTCCCATACCCGTTGAATACGATGAGGCTCTCCCCAAAGGCGAGATCCCCAATCAAGGTGGTCCCTTCGGAGGAGATATCAGTGTGGTTTATGAAAGCAACTGGGACTTGTGGCAAAACTGGATGGCCATAATCACTAAACAAGTTCCGTGAGTCTTCTTGTTACCCACTACACCTCATGGACTCAGCTCTCTCTCAGACTGAATATCGCTTGTCACGGGTGACGTGAAATGACTGGGCTCGACAGCACAATCTACCCAGCAGTGGAGCCAGTAAAAGTACTATGGGATATTGACCGTCAGCCTCATGATCATGCCGGGTAATCATGAAGCCGCATGTGCCGAGTTCGATGGCCCGAACAACGAGCTCTCCGCTCTGCTCGACAATAACGTCGTCAACGGCACTCAAGCCAACTCAACCCTCAACTATTACTCATGTCCTCCCTCTCAACGTAACTTTACCGCATATAGCAACCGTTTCTACATGCCTGGTGATGAGACAGGCGGTCGTGGTAACATGTGGTACAGCTTTGACTTTGGCTTGGCTCACTTTATTGCCATTGACGGAGAGACAGATTTCCCGAGTGTGAGTGTCACACATTTCGATCCTCGTTCTCCACCGTCCTTCCTTCGAACTCGTGACTATGTGTACATACGCAATACACTTTGGCACCTTAATGCACTTGAACATGTTCACTGACCCACAGAGCCCTGAATGGCCGTTCGCAGCCGATATCAAGGGCAATGAAACCCACCCCACACCTGAGCAGACGTACCCCACCGACTCAGGTCCTTTCGGCTATATCAACGGCAGCATCAAAGAAGTCGAATCTTACGAACAATACCAGTGGCTCCAGTCCGACCTGGCTTCAGTTGACAGGAGCAAAACGCCCTGGGTATTTGCAATGAGTCACCGACCCATGTATTCGAGCCAGACGGCGACGTATCAGGAAGATGTGAGGAATGCCTTTGAAGCCCTGTTGTTGCAGTACAAGGTGGATGCTTACATGTCTGGGTGAGCACTTTTACCTAGACTAGTGCGACTGTCATCTTCTTGCCTCTGCTATCGATTGCGTTCACCACTTACTGCCTCGTCTCCAATTTCCAATTTCTTCTTTGCTGTCCGTGGTCGTGAGACGGGTTCATGCTAAGGTGGAGGAGAAACGTTGATCGATGTTGAACCTGACAATCAGACACATCCACTGGTACGAACGTCTCTACCCTCTGGGTCGCAACGGCACGCTCCACCCTGAACTCGTCATTGACGAGAACACGTATGTCACAGGTACTGGACAAGCCCTCGCACACATGGTCAACGGTATGGCCGGTAACATCGAGTCGCACTCTATCCTCTCACCCGGTCAGACAAAGCTAAACATCACAAACGTGCTCAATTACGAGAATTTCGGTTATTCCAAGTTGACGGTACACAATGAAACCACGGCCACTTGGCAATATTACATGGGTGATAGTGGTATCATCGGTGATACCCTCACTATGGTCAAGGGACAATGAAACAATGGACAAAGAGACAATAAAACAGAAGTTACGACTCGAAACAAGACATACTGTAGATAGAAGCTGGGATATAATTCTGAAAGATAGGTAAACACATGGAAGTGCTTTTTGGTCCGTCATCCGCTCACCTCACACTGATACAGAGTCGAATCCGCTGATCGCCCACGACTCCTTTACTCCACTGTCCCACTCGTCCACTGTCCCACTCGTCCACCGTCCCACTCGTCCACTGTCCCACTCGTCCACTGTCCCACTCGTCCACTGTCCCACTCGTCCACCTCAATCCTGACGACGAGACAGTATACGACACAACATACCAGACAGCACACGTGACAATACGCATGACTGTATCCGAGACAATGTACAAGACAGGATCCGAGGTACTAAACGGGACGGTATGATCCACTCACTCTTGCTGATCACGACTTTCCGCTACATACATCACATGTTCCCAAATGATTCGCTATGTGAACTGGCGCATCTTCACGTACGATGACAGCACCGCCCTGCTCTACTAAATATTCTTAAATCGCCCTTGATCACTCAACCTCATCATCTAACAACCCCAGGCATCAGACACTGCGATCCTTCCCAAATACCTTGGCTAAACGATATGGCTTTTTTCAACATGTTCAGTCTAGTAGCCCTATTGGTTCTGATCAATTTCTGCCACGGCCTAGCATGGCCGTTTGACTCGCGGGCAAAGGCTCCGAAGTGCAAGTACGACCCCGATTGTCCTCCAGATCAGCATTGTAAGTCGCTCTTGTCCGTTCTCTTCTGCTCCCCACCTTGTACCCCGTCGGCTACAGTGAGAAGTCCCCCTTACAAACACAAGCTGACGTCAAGGTGTACATCAACCGAATGGTGATCATCGATGTGGACCAGAGGGAATTGGTTGTGTCTTTGATCAAGACTGTCCAGGAGGTTATTGTGAGTTCCAAGACTTCACTCGTGTACCCACTTGTGGTACCATGCTACTCGTGGTTAATGTCCAGGTTTCCAGGAAATATGCACCATCACCGGACCAGCCATCACTACCATCACTGTCGCTCCGCCACCCGGAGAGACCTTCCGGGGAAGTTGTAATACCGAAAAGGATTGTCGACCAGATGGGTATTGTGAGCACACTTTGCCCTCCATCTCTACTGTACCTCACCTTCCCTCAACTCAACCTACGCTTGAGATGTTTGCTCTCCTACTTCCCTCCATGGATGGTCTCTGATATATAGGTGATTTGGTCAACGATGAATGTATCTATCCGATCTCAACTATCATCACTAGCATCGTCCATGTCACCTCATCGCATCATCCAACCATTACTTCGATAAAGGGTCATTCAGGGTCATTTTCTACCTCGAAAAGCTCACTCACTTTTCCCAAAAGCATCTCCCCAACTTTCCATCCTTCTTCTCATAAATCGATTCATGCAAGGGCACACAATTCACCTTCTCGAGCATCGTCCGCAACTTCGGCGGTTCCAACCTGTCCTCCTGTGGATTTCTCAGCTCTACAAGCCAACCTAGGTCAACTAGATGATTACGTCTACGAACTCCTCCTCGACGCTCAACAACTCGACCAGGATCTCGGCAACCGTACCCATCATACCAGAGACATGGTCGACCGAGTTATTCGCCCTGCGACAGAGGAGAAGAGGAACATCCAAGAAAGACAAGGACCATATCCGTATTGTCCCATCGTTGATTCGACGGAGGTATTCAGTTTGGTAGGACAGATTCAGAGGGATCTCAATTTACTCGCTGCGGCGATACATGACGCTCAAAAGACGGCGAAGAAGTGTGGTAAAAGGACTTAAGGGGATTGAGAGGTATTCGATAAACGAGGCAGGAAATGTTTTTTGATGCTGTAGAAAAATGCGATGCAGTAGGTTAAGGAAGTTCCGTTTGTGTCGTGCCACCCTCAATATCACTTACAACCAACGTACGACTAGACTTTCACAGGACGCATTATGCCATATGGGATACAAACAAAATTGAAATTCTAGCCCTTACTCTGTGGTCTGAGATAACAAATTGATGGATCTGCTGAACAACAGATCCACGAGTCCTGCTGAGATTGCTTGGCGCACGACGTCGTATCTACTGTGAGTACTGTATGAAACTTCTCAGCGGATGATTGTTCAGATCATCGTGTCTCGGCCGTCAGAGTCAAATTATCGAACAGCTGAGGAGCGACATGAAGACGAATGACGGGTATAAATAGCTATTCTAACATTCTTTTTTCAACGACAAACTTCATCTTCTTCCCTTCAAATTCTGATTTCAACTCAACTCAAGTGACTATCATCCAGGATGAAGCTTTCTATGCTTCTCTTGACGTGTTTTAGTGTGGTTGTTGCTCTTCCACACTACACGCGACTACCCATAGGTCTACCGTGAGTTAATTCCTCCCACCATATCGAGACCTAAAGCTAATAGTAGTGGTGGGCAACATTGCTTGACTTGTCTCGATAAAGATTCGAAAGTAGCAAGAGAAGTCGACTCGAACGCTATCGACGTCATGCTTAAGAAGAAAGATCATGAGGATCATGGCGACCATACAAGTACAAAAACTGTCATTGATGAAGAAACAACAACTATCACAGAGGAACACACGTCCACTTCCAGACATAATGATCATACATCAACTACCGAACATAGCTCGAGTAGTGTACATCATACCTCATCTGTTGAACCTTCGGTTTCCTCGAGTAGTCACCATGCTTCGGCCACTCCTGCTCCTGAGTCCTCGAGTAGTCACCATACCTCGGCCACTCCTACTCCTGAGTCCTCGAGTAGTCACCATACTTCATCGAGTAGTCACCATGCTTCATCGAGTAGTCAAGAAGCTTCGCCCACTCCTAATCCTGGACCCATATCTATCCCTTATGTCCTAGCCAACCCGGCTGTCGGTTGCCCGGCCGAATATCCTTACAGCTGTCCAATCTTGTCCACTCAACTGCTTGAGGTGTTGTACTGTACCGAAAGTCAGGTCTCTTGTCCTCTTGCTCTTCCTTCATCATCGGGTATCGAAATAGCTTTGCCCATACCTACTCCTCCTGTTTTGTTATCGGGTAATCAACAAGGTTTGCCCATACCTACTCCTGGTTCGTTATCCGGTGTTCAACCGCCAGCCTTGCCCATCATACCTGCTCCTGGTTCGTTATCCGGTGTTCAACCACCAGCCTTGCCCATCATACCTACTCCTGGTTCGCTATCAGGTGTTCAACCACCACCCTTGCCCATCATACCTACTCCTGGTTCGCTATCAGGTATTCAACCACCACCCTTGCCCATACCTGATCCTGGCTCGTTATCGGGTGTTCAACCACCAGCCTTGCCCATACCTGATCCTGGCTCGTTATCGGGTGTTCAACCACCAGCGTTGCCCATACCCGTACTACCTGCTCCTGGTCCGTCATCGGGTGGCCTCCCACCAGTTCAACCACCAGCGTTGCCCATACCCGTAATACCGACTCCTGGTTCCTCCTCGGGTGGCCTCCCACCGGTCCAACCACCAGCCTTGCCCATACCTGTAGTACCTACTCCTGGTTCCTCCTCCGGTGTCCTTCCACCTGTACTCCCACCTGTACTCCCACCTGCCCTCCCACCTGTACTCCCACCTGCCCTCCCACCTGTACTCCCCCCCGTCCAACCACCGGCCTTGCCCGTACCCGTAGTACCTACTCCTGGTTCCTCATCGGGTGTCCTCCCACCTGTCCTCCCACCTGTCCTCCCACCGGTCCTCCCACCTGTCCTCCCTCCTGTCCTCCCACCTGTCCTCCCACCTACCTTGCCTATACCCGTACCTGCTCCTGGTGCGTCGTCGGGTATTCAACCACCAGCCTTGCCCATACCTGCTCCTGGTTCATTACCGGGTATCCCACCAGCCTTGCCTGTACCTGCTCCTGGTTCGTTGCCGGGTATCCCACCAGTCTTGCCCGTTCCTGCTCCTGGATCATTACCGGGTATCCCACCGACCTTGCCCACTCTCCCAATACCAAACACATACATCCTAGGCAACCCGGCTGACGCTTGCCCAGCCCAATATCCTACCAAGTGTTCACTCTTGTCCGCTGCACTGGTTGAGATTACGTACTGTTACGCATTTTCTCCCTGTCCGGCGAGCCCTTTGAATCTTGTTCGTCGACACGAAGAGGAAAAATCGTCTGATTTCATCGTGGTCAAAAATCCATCCCACGGGTGCCCACGAAAATTCCGATACAGCTGTCCGCCTCTGTTTGGACTCGAATCGGAGGAACTGGTCTGTTATAAGGAACCTCGCCCCTGTCCGCTGATTGAAGCTATCGCTCGAGACGACGGTCATTTGATCAAAGAAAGGTCACCGAAATCTAAACATAAACCAACACCAACCCCATCACCTGAACCCGAACCGATCATCCTATGTCCTCCTTTCAGCTGTCCGCCATTGCCACATGAGATCCTTGCCATGGACAAACGTTGCCTCAGGGAGGCAGAAATTGCCTGTCCATTGGAAGGTATCGCCAAACGTGATGAAGGTGTAGTATCAGGTGCAGAATGACTGGAAAGGATGGAAGGAATGTGAATGTTGATTATGTCGTATGTTGTCTTTTTGCGTATCGTGTTTCTTGGCTGAAAGCAGGAGTGGTACTTGAAGTCGATTGATGAGAAAGTTTGAGGACAGTAAGGAAACAAGGACGTTTACATGTGATTAAATGTACCATCAAGAAAGTGAGGTGACGAATCGAAATGTGAGATGAATGAGTGAATACGTGATTCTTTGAATTTGTAATCTTCTTTTCCGACGCACGGTCTTTACTAGATGATTACGTCTACGAACTCCTCCTCAACGCTCAACAACTCGACCAGGATCTAGGCAACTGTACTCATCATATATCGCTTACGACTGATGTACGACCAATCCTGAAAGGAGTGACTCGGCACAGTGATACGCAATAGAGGAGTTGAAATTCGGGTCCCCACTCTGCAATGGAATGACAAATTGATGAATTTGCTTAACAACAGATCCACGAGCTATGCGGAGGATGCGGAGCTTGATTGGCGCAGGACGTCGTATCTAGGGTCATTGAAAGTGGGTGAGTGTTCGGATCAACCTGTCTCAGCCATCAATATACTGATGGGGTTGCATAGCCACAAAAAGAAGCATGGCGTAGTATAAAGGGAGATCTAACAGTCTCTCGCGAAAACCATTTCAACTTCTTCCAGCCCACTCGGATATAACCTACTTCGAGTTCTCGTCATTCAGTATGAGATTTTCCGTTCCTCTCCTGACGTGTTTGAGTGTGGTCGTTGCTCTTCCACACTACACGCGACCTCCACCGTGAGTTGTTCTATCATATCGAGACCTAGAGCTGATATCAGTGGTGGTGGACACTGTCTCAAATGTCTTGAGAGAGATACGAAAGTAGCAAGAGAAGTAGATTTGAACCCTATCGACGGTATGCTAGAGAAGAAAGATCCTCTCGAGCCTCATTTTGATCATACGCCAACTATCAAACATGGTGGTTTACCTCCTGGACATTACACCTTACCTGTTCAACATCCTCCTTCAGTGCGTAAACGACAAGCTTCACCCACTCCTACTTCGGAACCAACACCGGTTCCGTACGTTCTAGCCAACCCGGCTGTCGGTTGCCCACCCAAGTTTCCTTACAACTGTACCCCCTTGTCTATTCAACCACCTAAGGTGTTACATTGTTACGCTCGTCCCATCCCTTGTCCGCGTGAACTTGTGGATGCTGTCGATCGACACGAAGAGGGAAACGTCAAAGAGGCAAGGTCACCTCCATTCGTCATTATCAAACATCCATCTGACGGTTGTCCACGAAAATATCCATTCAGCTGTCCACCCCTTCCTGGAACAACATTGAAAGAACTTGTTTGTTATACCAAACCTCACTCTTGTCCACTGATTGACGCTATCGCTCGAGATGAACACGATCACCTAGAAGAGACAAGATCACCTCCCTCCATCGTGGTGACCGATCCATCCCTCGATTGTCCACCAGGCTACCCGTTTAGCTGTCCACCTTTACCTGGTCAAACTTTGACAAGATTGGTTTGCTTCATCAAGCCGCACGCGTGTCCTCTGGTAGCTTCCGAAGCCGTAGCAAGAGAAGAACATGAACATCTCGAAGTAACAAGAACGACTCCGTCCTTCATTATCGTCACTGATCCCTCACTCGGTTGTCCTCCGAATTATCCATTCAGCTGTCCACCTCTACCCGGTTTGACCTTGACAGAACTACGTTGTTGGAATCATCCTATCCCATGTCCTCTCCTAGCCCCTGAAGCCGCCGCACGAGACGAGATTGGACATCACGAAGAAATCAGATCACCATCGTACATCTTGGTCGACCCTAAAATTGGCTGTCCTAAGAATTACCCAAACAGCTGTCCACCCTTACCTGGTCAAACGCTCAAGGTTCTCTATTGTTACAACCAGCCTGTCTTCTGTCCGTTGGAGACTTCTGAAGCAGTTGCTCGGAATGAAGATGAGAATCACGAAATGCGAAGATCCGTGGAAATGGAAGCTCGTCAAATATTCCGTTGTCCTCCTTCCAAACCGTATACCTGCCCCCCTCTCCCTGGTCTCAATTGGACAGTCTTGCATTGTTCGGCTCATCCTCACCCATGTCCGTTGTCCGATGCAATCGCTCGACGTGCAACAAATGTTGTGGAAATCATGAGGTCCCAAGGGGAGGAAAAGCGGATCATACATTGTCCTCCAACACATCCGTATACCTGTCCACCTTTACCTCATCAAACCCTGGCTGTGGCTAAACGATGTTTTGCCGAACCTATTCCTCCGATCGCTTGCCCACTTGAAGAACGAGACGAAGGACATCTGAAGGAAGAAAGATCACCCAAACCCGAACCATCGCCAACACCGTTGCCTGAACCCGGACCGATCATCTACTGTCCTCCGCGTAGTTGTCCACCATTGCCGCATGAGACTCTTGCCGTGGACAAACATTGTATCTACAGGGAAGAGGACTTCGCCTGTCCATTGGGAGGTATCGCCAAACGTGATGGGGAAGCGGGATCAGGTGCAGAATGAAAGCAAGGAATGTGAAAATCCAGAGACGTCGTATGGCCGTCTATCGGGCATCATCTCGTTTGGTTGAATGTAGGAGTCGCACTCATTTGGGTCGAGTCTGAAATCAGGATTGTTCACATATGATTGATTGTACCATTGAGGAACTGGGGTAAGGTAATGAAATGTACGAAAACATGAATGGTTTTTGATTTGACTCGGATGTGAAAAGTCACATTTTCCGGCACACCGTTCTTATTCTTTTTGACAGTTCTGGATACATACAAACTGTGTGTATTGATTGATTGTTGTCAAGTACGGCGTAGAATTGGACCCCCCTCTGGACCTAACTACCTTTAAACATGTCAAAGATCATCACGCGGTGCTGTGGCAAGATAAGAGTATGAAGTCTATTTAGCGTCAGTGATGCTACGTTCCGGCTATGAAAATGCGCCACGATGGTACATGTAAGTATATGGACCGTCCGCTCGGAACCTCCTGCTTTGACGTCGACGCCGTACGCCGAATCATTCTCGACTAGGTCTAATTTCCCATGGTCCGGGCAGATCTTACTGCTCATGATCAGTACCAAACTGATTTTCATGAGCCAAGGGGTCACTAACTGGCCTGACTTTGCGGCCTTTGAACGTGGTCACACATGGTCATGAAGATAAGGATATGACAACGTAAAGTACACTCCCTTAAGGTCTAGATCCCCGCCCACATTTCAGACTATAAAATCCGTCGCCGAGTAACGATACTCATTCATCAATCATCCAGCCTTGCCACTTCCTCTCATCTGACCGAAACAAAATGAAATTTCTCCTCCTCCTTCTCACCGTCGTTGGCGTCATGGCCATTCCCACTCCTTTCAAGTAAGCAGCTCATACCTACCCTGTATGAAGTATCGAACTCATCCATAGTGAACAAGACCAACTCAATGTACTTGAACAAAGAGCCGAAGATATCCCTATCATGGCAAGGGAGCCAACCGAGACCGCTACTCCAGACTGGGGATACGGAGCTACTTGGCGACGACGCAACGACAAGCGGTACGTTTGTACGCCTGCAGAGATCAAAAACGGCGATCCGTGTGGACCATATAGGGGACCGAGGTTATACGTTAGGGAACATGATTCGTCTGCAGACGAAGTAGCTAGGAAACGGTCTGATGATATCGATCTCGAACACCGTGATAGTTCCGAGACGGCTACTCCTGATAGCTTCGGCTCCCCTTGGTGGCGACGGACCCATGATAAGCGACTTTGTTTTAAAGCAGACAAATACTGTGATACGTGTACACGACCCCCCTGCCCAAAGATATGGGTAAGAGAACATGACACTACGTCTCAAGAAAATGTAGCTAGGGACATCGGCGAGTGATCCGAGTAAGACCATCGCTGCACATTCCAAGCGACGTGAGTGATTGTTGACGGACAGATTGGTAGCTGATCCATTTCAGGTGATTTTTGAACGAGCAGTGACAGACCAATGTGATCATGATATGAGTGTTCGTTCGGAAGGAGCATGAGTTGTTTAGGGGTTGAGTACATATTACATGCAGATTCATGTTGACAACTACAAAGCCCTGCTTGATCAGACCAATCGCTTGTGAAGAGACAGGAAACTTACCAATCCTTTACCCCTTCTCCATCCACATCAATGTTTACCACTAAAAGTATCTTGCCTATACCCAGTATCAGTCTGTTCACCTTCACCCGCCGTAAGTACCCGTTGCTTCCCCTTCACCTTGACCTGTTCCCTTCCCATCTGAGGCACTTTCTTGATCCGCCCCTGAAGCTCAATGCGCACCAGAATCAGACCCGTTGTGCTGAACTTTACCGTATCTCCATTTCTACTTACGTCCTTCCAATTTGCTCAACTTCAAATTTCTGATGGGAGGTATCGCCAAGCGTGATGGGGAAACGGGATCAGGTGCAGAATGGAAGCAAGGAATGTGAAAAATTCGGAAATGTCGTATGTCGTCTTCTCGGGTATTCCCACCCTTGGGTGAAAGCAGGAATCGTACCCAACGTCGAATGACGACAAAGCTTGGTTCAAGTAAGGGCATAAGACTGTTCACATGTGATTGATTGTACCATCAAAGAAGTGGGGTGAGGGAATGAAAGGTGAGATGAATGTGTGTGTGTGCATACAAAATTCTCTCAATTTGACTCACTTTCCGACGCACGGTCTCTGTTCCTTCTCATATTTTCGGATCCCGCTTAGATGTCTTCAATTGATGACCGGTCGGACCAACGCTCCAGTAGACAGGTTTATCCGTGATCAATGATCATCATGAGAGAATCAAAGGTGCTTAGCTAAGGTAAAACGAGTATGAAGTCCATCCGTTCTCAGGAATAAGAGTTGATGGCAAGATTCCATCTACCAAGTAAGCCGCGACGGAAAGTCCGCTTCCGACCGCCCGCTTAGATGTTCTCTCCCGACTATCCTCCTCTATCCTCTTCCACATGATCCGGACCGATGTTCATGATCAAAATCAATACCAATCTGACGTGACCAAGCGATGAATAAGCTTGCCGGACACATGCGGCATGCGGCCAGTTGAGGCCTTCGAGAGATCCATGGTTGCACATGGTCGACGAAAACAGATCCCGTCGATAGAATCCCTCTCCTTCACCTTCCGCATACATCTCAACCAGGTCTATATATTCAGCTTCAATTCAGAAATTTACTCACCATCCATCTACTCTTACCACTTTCTTTGCCTATCCCAAGTAACCATTCCAAGATGAAACTCCTCTTCCTCGTTCTCACCGTCATGAGTGCCATGGCCATTCCTACTCCGTTCAAGTAAGCGATACTAGTTTGTTTCGTGTACAAGTGATATACTGATGACTAGTGGTCAAGACGAAAATGTTGCTCTTCAACAACGAGGGGCAACAGGACCACGTGTGGATAATACTGACAAACGATTCGGTGATTTCAACGCCGAGCAGCGCGATACAACTGAACCCCCTATTCTGGACGGTTCGGGCGGATCTGGACCCACTTGGCGACGTGATTCAGGTTCTGGTGCAGATCAAGGTTCAGGGGCGTCGGGGGGAGATCAAGGTAGTGCCTCAGATGGAGATGGAGAAGGGAACGCGGCGGGGACGTCGAGTGGAGGGGGACAAACTGGTTCGGGCTCTTCTTCTAGTGGTAAACCTTGATGTGGAATTGAACGGGAGTTTCTTGATCAGTGAGATTTCCTCTTCACCTGCGAATGAAATTTATCTGATCAAGCAGCGTCTTGTAGATACTAAGCTTACTATGTATTTGCATGTGATATATAAACAACGGTCGAAATTTTACGCCTTCTGAATATTCCATCGTATGGTATGATCAATGTGTTTCTTTCTTAACGCTTGATTTGAAATATCCTTAGATATATCAGCACTGTACTATTTAGATTCGAATTCAACAAACACTCACATCATGTACAGTCCTGTAATGCAAGCAGATATGAGGCTACTTGCTAACGTCCCTGGATTCTTTGTCTGAAGAAGTATCATGTTCCCGGACGTACAATCTCGGTCCGGGGACTGGTCCACACGGATACCCGTATTCGATGTCTGCAGGAGTGCAAATGGCTCGCTTGGCATTGCGTCGCCACCAAGGTGATTCGAAGCTCTCCGGAGTTGCTGATTCAGATCCGTGTCCCCATTTCTGATCACCTCCTGTCATTCTGCTGATCCCTAATTGTTTCATGATACTCGACATAAATCCCTTCAGCTGGCCTTCTTTTAAGTCCACGAAAGGAACATCTTCCTTACCTACGTCGTGGGAGGCTTGGGGCTCTGCCATAGTGTTGAGACGTGGTTCGGTAAGAAGGTCTCGTTTGGGTATGTCTGGAGATAGCGGAGCTGCTTTCGAGGTGAGTTTTTTAGTTGGTTTTGGTGTCGGATTGGGGGTGTGCTTCGAAGTAGGCTTTGGCGTCAAGGTGGGTTTTGGTGTGAGCTGAAGAGTAGGCTTCGGGATACGTTTTACTAATGGAACTAGCATCTCGGTCACGCCTACAGTCGGCATGACACTCGTAGTGTTGTGCGATTCGCAAGGTGAGTACGGAATGACCACAGCGCCTAAACGAGTCAAAACACTACCCCTTCGAGTGAAAGATGGGGGGGCGTACAATTCATCCGACATTGGCGAATTTCTATACAAGTTGAACCGGTTCTTTCCATCAGCGATACAGTTTGTAATGAACCTCAGTGATGACTTACCTTGGAACGACTGGATACGCGGTCACCGAAGGGATCACAAGTAATCCGAGGAGAATTCCGTACATGTTGAGTCGAAGATCTCGGGTGCTCGTGTGGGGGTCGAATGAACGAGAGGATACTTATTGAGAAGATGACTGTTAAGTCCGTTGTTGAAGGAAGTACGAAGTTCTCGCTTGAGAACAGCGTGTGCTTCGCTGCCGAAGACGTGATGAGTGAAATCAAGAAGCGTAAAGATCATCTTTTCCCCCTTTGGTCATGCCCGCAGGCCGACTGGGCTGGCGACATGACCTTTCGGCCATCAATCTTCATCAGTAATGGGATTGCAATCGTCGTGGGGCCTCGTGGGACTGTCTGTGAGTAGCTACTATAAGCTGATCATGCGATAAGGAAGACCGCAGAGTGTTCATCCATCAGCGGCGAGTGACATGTGCACTCACCGGTCCGACCAGAAAATGCTGATATCTGCGATTCAGGTAGTGATGGAACTCGATTCAAGACGGACTTGCCTACCAGCTATGCACGATAGCAAGTTCTATCCGGACCGAGAGAATCAAGTGACTTCTTTCTTGACTTGTGATGAGGACACACCTTGAAGAGAGTATCGCGATCTCATTGACGTTTGACGCAATGCATATATGACAGCCACGGATCCGTCCGTAAGAAAAGACGCGTGCTCGTCTGCGACCTGATCCACCTCCACCCATCCCCACGATATCCCCTATAGACGACGACCTCTACGACCACCCTTACGACGAGTAGAATCACTAGGTACCGGCGTCACATCCTCGATACGACCGATACGGATACCAGCACGGGCGAGGGCACGGAGAGCGGATTGACCACCAGGACCGGGGGCTCTGGTGCCAGTTCCACCAGTGGCGCGAAGTTTGATGTGGAGGGCGGTGATACCGACTTCTTTACATTTCGCGGCGACATCTTGAGCAGCAAGCATGGCTGCGTAGGGCTGTGGACGTCAAGGGGTTTGCGAGTGACACGTGATGCGCATGTTGGATGGACGAGTAGCGAGCCAGGGAGGAGAGTGTTGTCAAATGATAAGATGTGAAGATATGAGGTAGCGGGATGAAGGAGTGAGGATTGAAGAAGAAAAGTCATCAGCTGCGATTCAAAGATAGACGTAAAGACTCACCGAGGACTCATCACGGTCAGCTTTGACCTTCATTCCTCCCGTGACACGAGAGATGGTTTCTTTGCCAGAGAGATCAGTGACATGGACGAAAGTGTCGTTAAAGCTAACAGTTAGCATTCGACTCTGACAACCTGAATCTTTCATTGACGGAATGCCGCAGTACACATAGCAACCAGCACATACTGTAGGTTGGGCAGGTGATAGCTCAGAGAGCCCGACTCACGAGGCGAAAATGTGCGCGACACCGAAGACGATCTCCCCGTCACCCACTTGAGGACCGAGATTGACGGCGGCTTGTTCTTGTGGAGCACGACCTTTCTTGGGTGGCTATAGGGTCAGCACATTTTTTTGACAATAAGAACAGCTAACTGACCATTGTGAGAAATAAAGATGGAATGGTTGAGAGGAAGTAAGATGTTCGAGGCTTCGACTTCAGAGCGAGGATTTCGCCTCGGCATTTCGCGGCAATTTTGACGGCGCGGTGTGGCAATTGGCGGGTGATACTTGTATGTGGCGCTTTACCTTGCAGTTTGAGGCGGTGAGGGTGAAGGATATGTCACCGACGATCATGAGCTTTCAGATGGTACGCAAGAATGAATAATGTCAGGGCTGAAAGGTCATTGGAGAAGCGTACACAAGCAGTCAAGCTCGTTCATCATTGGTACGGACAGTGTCCCCAAGACCAAGATTTTTACCCGTCTATCTGGTCTTGCATTGCGCCATATCTCCATCGGCCATGGATGAGCAGGAGTAGTAAGGGGATTGACATCCTTTGAGTGGTAAGCATTCTCTTTTCTTAGTCCCTTCCTCTCCACGTCTCCCTCACACACACTCTCTCTCTTCATAGATCATTACCACCTTGTTATTTTGATGCTTCCCAACTTGAACTGGCAGAGGAGCATCATCGACATCGGCCGAGTTTATTTTTGAAAGCGACAAGCTTCGGTCAACTTCCCAAACGGGTAATTACCCGATCATCGGAGTTGAGGGCTCTTGGCCACCCATCTGCAACTTGACAACGTCACCTCCACAACCACCTCAATCGTAACACTGATACACTGGACAACTCAATCCATCTTTGGATGCGCTTGACTGTCGCTCTGTCCTACACCGCCAGACCCTATCTCTTGCCTACGTTTCAAATTGGTTAGGAGGGTTATATAGCACCGGTGGAAAGCAAGTACAACACCTTCGGACCCAATTAGTCATCGGCCGAGATTTTCCTGCTTTCTCCTGCATACAGCACAAATTCACTTACAAACCCAACCCACAGGTCACAATGTCTCTACCAATTCACACTCCTCCTTCTGGGCACACTAGGGGTCGTTCAAACTCTGGTCTGTTATCAGCCATCATGAGCTCGCCCCTTTCGCTCTTCTCTCCAAAGATGGGGTATGGAAATATTTCCGTGGACGAAAGCAAGCTTGGCGAGTCAAGTAAACTGGTGGCACACGACTCGGCTGGTGTGAAGAGAGTGGAGCTCCGTATTGGAGGTATGACGGTGAGTCCTGGTGTCTTGTATCATACATGTACGTCGGGAAACTCACATCCAGTGTGGGGCTTGCGTGGCCAGTATAGAAGGTCAGATGAAACAACCTGGTATCCGAAGTGTGCAAATCTCACTACTGGCTGAAAGAGGTGTCGTGGAGTACGAAGAAGATTTTGTGGACAACAAAGGTCAACCTTGGACCGATGGGCGAGTAGCGGCGGAGATCGAGGATATTGGGTTTGATGCAGAGGTGGTGGAGAAGAGCGAAGTTGAGCAGGTTGATCTTCGCATCTTTGGGTATGTAATGATATCACACCTTGTAGGCTCTGACACCTTGCTAATGGATAGATTGGAAAACACCGACCTCGTCCAACCCATCGTCTCCGCCACTTTGTCTTTGGCCGGTGTGCACGCAGCTGCCCTTCCGTATCCACATACCAACCTCATCTTCTCACACTCTCCTCTACTTGTTTCCCTCAGAACCATTGTTGATACCCTCACGAAGGCCTTTCCTCAGCTCACATTCCTCCCTACATCGACTAAGAATGATTCGCAGCTGGCTTCTTTGCAGAAACACAAAGAGACTGCTTTGTGGCGTCGGATATTTATCCTTTCGGCATGCTTTGCAGTGCCCAATTTCGTCATCGGAATGCTCAGCATGCATCTACCCATGTGGCTGATGGGTTGGACGAGTTGGCGAATAGTGCGGGGTATATACCTGGGAGATGTGGTCTGTCTTGGACTGACGCTGCCGGTGCAAGTCTGGCTGGGAAGGAGATTTTACGACAACGCATGGAAGAGTCTGAGACACAAATCCGCAACAATGTGAGTTTAGCTATCTCTCATTCTCATGTGCTTGACTACTTGTTTTGGAACTTCGTGCTTACGCTTAGGGATGTTCTCGTCGTGCTTGGCACTTCGGCCGCTTTTGGTTATTCTGTCGCTGCCATGTTCTTTGCCATGTTCAGCTCTGATCCAGATTATCGACCCCAAACATTCTTTGACACCTCCACCATGCTTATCACTTTCGTCTCCCTTGGTCGGTACATCGAAAATTTAGCGAAAGGCAAAACCTCGGCCGCATTGACCGACCTCATGGCACTCACTCCTTCCTCAGCCACCATATTTGTTGCTCCACCGTCAGAAGACGAGAAATTCGACGCCTCAGCACCTACTCGAAAGATCCCTACGGAGCTTGTGCAAGTGGGCGACGTCGTACTGCTCGTGCCTGGGGAACGAATCTCAGCCGATGGAGTAGTACTGTCTGGTTCTACGTCAGTGGACGAGTCCATGGTCACTGGTGAAGCTCTTGCTGTCCCGAAAGTTGCCAAATCGCAAGTCATTGGAGGTACCGTCAATGGTCTTGGAACACTCACCTTCCGTGTCACTCGTGCTGGGTCAAATACCGCACTTGCTCAGATCGTCAAATTGGTGGAAGACGCTCAGACATCAAAAGCTCCTATTCAGGCATTTGCTGATAGAGTGGCTGGAATCTTTGTTCCGGCTGTCATTTTACTCTCCCTTGCCACTTTCTTCATCTGGATGTTCATTTCTCTTGTCTCTTCCACCGGATCTCTCCCTGACGTTTTTCATTCGCCAGGAATGAGCAAGTTTGGTGTTTGTCTCAAACTTTGCATCTCCGTGGTCGTCGTGGCATGTCCATGCGCCTTGGGACTGGCCACTCCGACGGCTGTCATGGTTGGTACTGGAGTTGGAGCGAAGAACGGTATTTTGATCAAGGGTGGCAAAGCGCTAGAAGCTTGCAGGGATGTACGAAGGGTTGTTTTCGACAAAACGGGAACTGTCACAGAAGGCAAGATGCGAGTGACCGCTACTTTTTGGACCCCCAATGGTAATCTCCTCACTTCGGATGATGCTCTGCAACCGGATCTCGACACCGCTTCTACGTTGTCACTCACGACCGCCGCTCCACCCTTACAACGCCATACGGTACTTGCGCTGCTTGCTTTGTCAGAAGCACGATCGGAGCATCCTCTCGCTGTCGCTGTTGCGTCTTATGCTCGAGAAGCTTTGAGTAATGCCGGTCTTGCACCTCCTCATGGAGAAGTGACATCTTTCGAATCTCATCCTGGACAAGGTGTGGAATCCTTCGTCAAACTCGCAAATAATCGAGGTGAAGAACAACTCCGAATCGGCAAAACAGAATTCATACTATCGACCGAATCCAAGACGAATGAAGCTTTGGGTGAAACTTCATTGTCTGGATCTTTAAGACATTTCGAACAAGTTCAAACATCCCGAGCTCGAACAGTCATATTCGTATCAATCATCCGTCCCGCTTCTTCACCAATACCAGTCCTTGCTATAGCTCTTTCAGATTCACCTAAACCATCTTCCATCCATGCCATCTCCTCATTACGTAGAATGGGAATATCCGTTTCTCTTCTTACTGGTGATGCACCTTCCACTGCCAGAGCTATTGCTCGAGAAATTGGTATACCAGAAGACGACGTTTATGCAGGTGTATCACCTAAAGGAAAAGCGAAAATCGTCCGTGATCTCATGACCAACCAAAATGGTGGTGTAGCAATGGTAGGAGATGGTATAAACGATTCACCTGCTCTTGTCGCTGCTTCTTTAGGTATCGCATTATCTTCAGGAACAAGTGTGGCTATCGAAGCCGCCGACGTTGTTTTGATGCGTTCGGATTTATTAGATGTGGTGGCTGCTTTAGATCTTGGTAGAAGTATATTCCGAAAGATTAGATGGAATTTACTTTGGGCATGTTGTTACAACATATTGATGATACCTTTAGCTATGGGAGTTTTGTTACCTTGGGGTATACATTTACATCCTATGATGGCTGCGGCTGCTATGGCTTTCTCTTCGGTTTCTGTGGTTTTGTCATCTTTGACTTTGAGGGTGAGTCTTGATATCTCTTCTACATCATCCTTCGATTCTCCCCACGTGATCTTACTATCACTGCCACTCGTAGTCAAACCGCGATCAATTCTAAACTCATTTCCTTCTTCCTTCTACCTTCTCTCATCATCTCAATGGATCCACTCACTCCAACTGCTCGTCCCACATACCACTTTCGCCCCTTCACTCAACCTGAATCACTCAACTAGTGGCGTAATTCAAATTCCAATCCCACTATAGACATTCAGCTGACTCAACAGTGGTGGCGTCGACCAGCTTCAAGTCTCATGCCTGGTCAAACTCCCGAACCCAGTGGGATAATGTTCGGTATCGGTGAATTATACTCTGAATTCGTCGAATACATCTCTACCATCCTATCTTCTGTCAAATCAGGAAATTGGTCTTTTTTGCGAGGGTTGAACACGAGAAGACCCAGTACGGCAGAATACGAAGCTATACCTCTTTCTATGGATAGAGCGTCTCCTTTACCCAGATAACATCGGATAAGTTTGATCAGTCATGTCAAGTCGTAAGATGTAAAGTGGAAGTCAACAAATATCGGTTAAAAGCGGTTGGGAAATGGAGAGTAGTGTGAGCGGACGGGCTGATGAGGAGGGAAGAGAAGCTCTTGAGTCCACTTTTGATCTAGAAATAACAACAGATGCATCTTTGTTCCCACTTTTCGACATCTCATGCTAATGTTCCTCTTCGTGTAAATGATAATTGATTGGATTTGTGAGACAAACCATAGGTGATAAAGTCATCGAGATTAATGATGTACAGTCCCACCCTTTCCCCATTTCTCTTCTAAGAAAACGTTCATCCATTCAAACACTTGTCGATAACCATTGCGTTTATCCATTGAATGATTACTGATGGTCAGTCGCTGCATGTCTTCTGCAACACTCCTACTTTCCTTCGTTGTCATTCGAGCTGTTAGCGAAAAGGAAAAGAACTACCACCTGACCCAAATGGGAAGGAGGGATCAAGATAGACAGAGGAAGGTATCAGGTACTAGCACGAACACTCATAGCAAGTTGCAAGTTGCAAGTTGGTTTCGTAAGATATCATATGGGGCTGAAGATAAAGACGATCAAAAGAAAAGACAAGAGAAAGGAAAAAAAGGACATACGAATCAGTAAACATTCTAAACCTCCATCCATTTATACCCGATTGTGTAAGTTTATCCAACAAAGTAGCACTGTTCATAAAATGAACGTTATCATCTCCACTTCCATGAGCCAGTAAAAAATCTACTTTTCCAAATGCCGTCATATTATTTACAGCAGATGAATGATATCCTTCTGGGTTTTGTTCCGGTGTAGACATGTATCGTTCTGTGTAGATTGAATCGTAGTACATCCAATCTGTCACAGGTGCCACGGCCACTATTTGTCAGTGACTTGTGATTACATTTCTTGGTATATATTTCATCATTGGTCCAGTGACTGAGAGCGGTTGAGACAATGTGAGGAAAGGATAAAGTATTAATGGGTTTGATATTCGTAGAAGACTCACTACCTAATGTGAAAATTCCCGAATCGGCTTCGACAGTTTTGCAAGTCATATATCCTCCATAACTCTGTCGTCGTGAGCTGAGACCCTCTCGACATGACCAGAGATCCATTCCATGTGTGATATGTGCTGTGACGAAACAATACTTCAGTGGAACAAAGCGACATTTACAAAGTAGGAAAGTCGGGTAATGATGAAGTGAGTACTTGGAAGATGGCGACGACACAAGCTCAAGAAAAGCTCAACCACTCACCCATCCCCATATTCCTATCCGCGTCCGGTCCACATAAACCCTCTTAGCCATCTCCCTAGCACCCGCCACTTGGTCCACAACCTCCCAACGTCCCAAATCATCCGTCACGGGATTCCTCAGCTTACGACCTTTGAACCCTGTCCCACGTCCGTCAACCAAAACGATGATGTATTTCTTTTCGCACGCGAGGTATGTATGCCAATCTCTTCCCCACATGTTATTGACCATTTGAGATCCTGGACCTCCGTATCTACCCATGAGTTGTGGTTTCTCATGGAGACGCCTTTATTGCAGTTCTCAACGATGATCTCTCGTACGTTCTGTAATGGATCTCGATGAGAAGTGAACTGGAGTGAAGGTAGGAGATGTGTAAGAAAAAGAAGAGGAAACTCACACTCGTATGAGAACGGGATATTTCTTTCGACCGGAGGTATCAAAGTTGGGTGGGGTCATAATTTGCATGTTTAACTCTGTCTCATTAGCTTTGTCTCACCTCTCAGCGTGCTCATGACTACTCTCGATTGGCTTTAAAGTAAGACTTACCATAACCATCACTTTCGATCGTGGTACGCGTCACTATAGGTCGCATGAATTCGGCTAGAGTGACATTCAACTCGGCATTACCCTCCATCAGTACATTCACTCCTGCCACGTTAGTCAATACACCCACATGTCTCGTTGTCAATTGCTCAGGAGACGGAGTGATTTGGGTGCCAAGTCACATCTCACGCAAGGGAAGAGGATACGTGGACCACTAAGGGGAAAGCGATTAGGAGCGAACGAAGACATGACGTACCCTCTTCGCCGGTCTCCATCAATCTCTGCCATGGCACTTCGGGACCTTTATATGATAATAGATAGTATCTCGCCCCAGGGGAGAAGAGCACGTCGTAATACCCCGGTTGGGATGTATCGGTCAGTGCCACAATCTGCGGGTTGAAGTCGCCATACCCCGATGTAGGCAAAACGGCCGAATGAAGATGTCGATCTATTGAGGGGTTCGCAGCCACAAAATATCTACTACTCAGCACATCTCATAATCGAGACTGGCAAGTTTGGGGCTGATTCAAACATACACTAGGTTGTTCAGAGGGTCAAATCCCGCAATGGAAGTCACTTCCCATTCGCCTTCTGTCAACCAAATAGGTTCACCAGATTGGAGAGGAGAAAAAAGAGCGATATGATTGTAGCCGTCTTTCGGTACGATGTCCAAATACCCCGATTGACCATTGGCGACGGGTATGACATTCTGATCCTTGGGACATCAGCTCTGGATCACTATGCGGAAATAACGAGCTCACATGATCTATCCAACCTCCTTCACCTTCTTCACCGTTGGCACCGAGTGTTCGAACGACTTTACCGTCCGTTTCTCCATATTGAAACAAGACCACATTGCCCACTCGAGCAGCTCGGTCGATCTCCTTTACGAGTAAAGCGTCTTGTGCTACCCAAGCGACTTCAGAGATGATACGAGATTCCACTGGCATTTCTCCTTTCCAGTGTAACATTTTTTTGGCTTGTTCTACCGAGTTGGTGGTTTGATAGGTGGCCAATGAAAATGTATGAACAGTCACTAAGGGGTTTGGTGTACCGGGCTTTGGATATCTGACATGTAAGTATGTCACCCTTCTTACGCGTTTCAGTTAGATACAGCGTTCAGATAACATAACATCGTCACTCACTTCATATCCATTTCAGACAGATACTGATGTACGGTGAAAGCGTCGTTGGTGGGATTATAATATTGTATCGTATAATCATGCACGGCCGATTCGTCACTCCTGAGATACGCAATGCTCTGGGCGTCGGGACTCCACCACAGAGCATAATCACCACTCAAAACCTCCTCTTCATACACCCAATCAGGTACACCGTTGAAAACACTGGCTGAACCATCATCCGTCACTCTGATCGATTTCATACCCGGTCCCAATTCATTGGCTCGAATGACGTATAGGTCGTTGTTGCTCACATATGCGATGGAATGTGATACTGGACTCCATTTGGCATATGCGGTGGTTGGAGGGTCGGTAGGAGTAAGAAGAGGGAAGGAGGATGAATCGGATAAACGATGAATCCAGTAATTCGCATGAGAGGAATATCTCCATTGTTTGACGTAATCTGTACGGAGAAGGACGTATTGCATATCGGCAGAGAGGGAAAATGAGTTCCAATACAATCGATGACCGGTTGAATCAAGAACCAGAGAAGCGTTGACTAGGACGGAGGAAATGTTCATAGAGTCGACTGTGGATAGTACGATGTTGCCATGTTCATCTTGATGAGAGAAGGTTCCGTCTTGAGCTCGAAAGTCAGCGATCTACCCCGACGCCGTCCGACGTATCTGATGAAGATTCACGCCCCAGATCTTTTAACTCAGTAAAGATGCAATGCGATTGTGGTGAGTCCGACGAGAGGGTAAAGAGTGGGAACAAAAATGACGGACGCAGCACTCACCCTCCTTGACCCAATCAATGTACTTCGACCTCGCATTGAAGGTCCCATTGAAAACATGATCCATGACCATATGTCTATTCCCACTTTTCGCAAAATAAGCAGGAGCGGAGTATGCCCATGCTGAAAACGTCCCTATGAGACCAGCGAGGACGACTATTATGATAAGGACAGCTAAGATCTTCTTTGACTTTTTTCTCGGTCGAAGCTAGGGATTAGCTTTTGCCCGTTCTATGTTTTTCGTACTTCGCTCCTTATACCTTGGATTCTCAGCTTCCAATGGGATTCTATAGAGGATAGAGTGAGAAGATGTACCCTACGCGAATCCACAGCATACCCTATCCCATCCTCATCCCCTTGTTCCATCCGTGGTTCATCCTGAAATCTCTCATCCTGTTTCTCCCCTAAGTCATCGAGGTTATCCCGGTATGAGACATCTGAGCTACCGTCTGAATGATCAACATGATCTCGGGAGTCGTCTATATGAGCTATATCATCCGCCAAGGGGTCATATTGGCCTGCCATGATTGTCGGAGTGAACGAGAGTAAGAGCAGACGTGTTGTCTGTCTGAATGGATAGGGACGAGGTCAAGTGCGGCGAGCGGCAGCTTCCGTCGGAAACGAATTTCCGGCTGTATTCGTATTCGTACTCGTATTGTTTCTCGTCTCTTTCAAGTCCTACCTATTCAAGCTATCGAACATACGCTAGGCACTCAAATTTATCAGTATTAATATCCCTAGATGATAAAGTTCATCCTCGTCCAAGTGAGCTTACGTTGTCACCCCCGTCGTAAGGTATGATAAAGCTCATGAATTAGAACAGACAGGGAAAGACAAGATTGTCAAAGTGGTATGTCCCATACGACGATGATGAGAAGGTGAGTCCCCCTTCCCCCTTCCTTCCAGCCCCTTCTTTTGCCCTTGATGATATTGTGTGAGGAATAGAAAGTAAACTCATCAATAGCTCCGACTCCGAGGCGAAGTCCATCGACTTATAGCTCCCAGAGATCAGAAATACCAGTCCAACTTTGTTGAGGTTGGTCATCTCTCTCATCTTCTCTTCCTTTCCTTTCACCTAGATCAAATCCGGGATCCGGAGACATAACTGATGAAACAGTTCAGAAATGATAAGATTGTTTATCGTCGATATGCCGGTCTATTCTTTTGCGTTTGTGTCGATTCGAACGACAATGAATTGGCATATCTCGAGGCTATCCATTTGTTCGTGGAGGTTTTAGGTGAGTCGTCGTTCTATCTCACAAACTCCCCTGTAGAAATCTTCCTTTTCTGGTTTAGCATACAGCCATGCCACCGGCTGCACCTGACCTGACGTACTCCTCGCGGTTGTAAATTTGAATGGCTCGTGCTGACTCACAGACGCGTTCTTCCAAAACGTATGCGAATTAGACCTTGTCTTCTCATTCTACAAAGTTGGTATTCTCTCACCGTCAGACACGACCCATTAAGGTTCCTTCCCCTCATCTCCGTCCAATTCTATGAGCGTCTCATACATGCTATTGTTTCAGATGGAGAGACCGTCTGACCTCAGGTCTACGCAATCCTAGACGAAGTCTTCCTCGCAGGCGAGATCGAAGAGACTTCCAAGCAAGTCGTTTTGGATCGACTTGATTATTTGGAGAAGTTAGAGTAGGTATGGAATATCAACGACTAAATCTTATGGTACATGATGCATTGTGTTGTACTGTTTGTACATATGATATCTCCTTATCTTCCTCTGCCTTCCATCACAAGGTCCATGTTCAAGGCCACCGCGAGCCTGAATAACATGCAAAGGTTCCAGCACTCGTCGACATTCTTCAGCTAACGAGTAACAATACTAACTGTCACACCGTATCCCGTCCCAACCGTCTATCTTCTTTCCTCTGTTTGATCTTAAGCCGTCAGCTCACACAGGAATTTCTCTCGCGGAGCTCACCCATTTGCCTTTACATTCCCTATAAGCTCTGAAGAAATCTTGACACTGACCATCAGTCTGTCTTCGATTTGACTGTCATCTCCGACGGTCCGTCCACGCCGCTGTCATCCGTGTTCCATGTTATCGATCGATTCTCAGAGAGGGGTATTTGATGACTCACCTCTGATCGATTATAATGTGTCCGTTCTAAACAATCGTATGTCGCTTTCGAAGCTGCTTCACAAGGATCTGCAAACTGTCATGAGTTTGTCTGTTTCTCTTTGTTACGTACAAACCTCACTTTGGTAACTGTCATCCTACTCTATCTATCAGCAACATTCCTCGTTCTTCTCTTGGACCCAATATCAGCAAAGGAGACAGGGAAGGGAGAGGGAGAGAAGGAATTACCCACCCGGAAGGTCTTCTTGTAATCTTCTGGTTGTTCTAGATCTGGGGTAGGAGGAGGAGGTCTTTCGGCGTATGGAGTAGGTTTGGTAGAAGGTGGAACTTGTGATGCCATATCGGTGCCTACTATGCACTCTTCTACTATCCTCTTGTCTCTTGTCTCTTGCCTCTTGTCTTCACTCACTACTTACTTGTCTTCATCGAGCCATTCAATCGCCAGTTGCAGTCGGCCATCGACAGCGGGGCGGAAGCAGAATTACGTCTGACAGAATGTGGGGCTCCACTGTCTCTCTCTCCCATTCAACTGACTTCAACTGGATATCGTCATCGTTAAGTCCTCCAACCTTTACAACGAAACAACAACATGACAGAGGTCTTACAATCCCTAGCGGGGATAGGTATGGCCATAGGGTCAGTACCCATCACATCTTCTCTTTTCGATATGCCTACTACAGTTCCTAATGCCTGCTACCTCACAGGGGATATAAGAGAAAGACGCTGATCGCACAGACCTCCTCTCATCTATGCTGACCAAGTGAGCTCGATGTACGATTTACGTTTGAATAATCATAGAGCTGATATTCAGGCTTATAGTATAGTCAGGAAGCGGTATGTTCACCTTCGTTCCAGACTCAGGTTGGTACTGATGCCAGCGATTCGTCTGGTTTTTCACATGGTGCGTTGATTCAAACTCCGACTACCAATGTCCCCGTCGTTTTATGTCTGCACGAGGGACAATATGAAGATGTACGGATGGTCAACTAGTTAGGAAAGAAGAGATGAAAGGAGGAGAATATCTGACGAACAGATGTCTGTGGAGTGGTCATCATAGCTAATATCATCCGTGTTTTCTTTTGGTTAGGAAAACAATTTGAACTCCGTAAGTCTTCCTTGTCCCTCTCTTCGCCTCCTAGTCAACCATATCATCTACTCTTCACGTTACACAGATCTCCTCTCCCTGACCGGATCATACAAATAAGATATTTCACTTTCAATTTTGTGCTTTACACCGCTAGCCCTCAAATGGTCTCTGATCAGTCAATGGGCAATTGGGATGTGATGGTTTGTGACGAAGAATGAACATCCTCTGACAAACAGCCCTTCTTGTCCAATCACTCCTCCTCATCCTCTCTCAACTTCTCTTACTATCTTTATGTCTACACTACGCTCCCGCTTCCTCCCCAGGACCGACTTACGCACCATTATCCCCTCTCGCTGAACACCCTCCTTCACCACCTCCCTCCGTTCCCCTTTCTCCTTATCACCAGGACGTATCACACGACGCTCAACCCTCACTACAAAATGATACCCCAAATGAAAATCATTCCTCCATCCCGCTCTCACTCTCTGGTCCATCGCCACGATTGCAATCACCTGGTTTTGAGACCTCAGAGGATATACCACATGGCTCTTCTTCAGGCTTGAGAATAGGTAAGGGAACAAGACCTTTTGGGTTTTGGCAATGGGAAGGGTATGGGACATATCTTGAATTTTTAGCGGGGATGATTGTCGTTCTGGGTTTAGCTGAACTAATCTTTGGTCGATGGATGTGGTGCGTTCTTCCTGGTTATTTACAGGTTCTCTCCGACTATCTATGGAGAGGGTCGGAGAGCGAGCAAGGAATCGGAGGGTAAACGCTGACTATTTAGGTACATTGACTCGTCAGTCTGGTGCTTCTCTCTTACTCGACCACACAGAGAATTGTGGTTGATTGTCAACTCAACTGACAGACAGACTCGGTTTCGTGGCACTCACTATTGAGTCCACTCTCCCAATCCCACAGTTCATCTCGAATTACCGACGGAAATCCACATATGGTTTCCGTTCTTCTACTCTGGCAGGCTGGTTTTTTGGTGATGCATACAAGTGGGTCTAATTCTCCCCTCCCCCCCCCTCCAATCTTCCCCATCCTCCCCATAACCCACTAGCCCCCTGCCAGATTCCTGCAGAGGGACAGAGGAGGTTATGAGCTCTCCGACCAATGCGTTGTTAGTCGAGACAAGGACCTGACTCACCCACAGAACAGTGTATTTCTTCGTTCGTAAAGCTCCTTTGCAATTCCGGATAACGGCAATTATGACTTTATGTTGGGACAGCGCAGTGTTATTTCAAAGAATACGATATCGAGCTGCTCCTCCTCGGACGGCAGAAGAGAACGAGGAAGGTAGACATCTTGCTGTGGAAAGATGAATGATGATGTATCTGTAATTTTTTTCTCCAATTCTCCACACTGCATCACTGTTCGAATCAATAATGAGGCAGTTGGTGAGTATACACTCTCGAAAGTCAGCGAGTGAGGGGGGTATGTAGACAAGCGGAGAAAGGTCGGTTCAGATGTGACAAGGAGAAGCGTATAGGAGGTCAAGGGCAAGGAGCAAATGTGCATGCGAGATGGAGACAATCTATTTCTTCCGTTCGACAGCCATAGAATCCCACATGGCTCTTTCAGCATCTTCTTTAGCTACCTGTTCGACGATAGGTGCGAGGTAACGAACGTCCTGTGAATCAGCACGTCTATTCACTTCCTTGAGTCTGATATATTTTTGATGACGTGTTGATACCACCCTGACATGATAATGATGTATGCTCTTCTGGGGCGTTCACCATGCCAGTGGGAAAGGTCGAGGGTTACGACATCTCGTGAAGTACGGGTCGCAATGTGAAATGAAGTGATGGAGTGTGAGGGTCTGATGATGACGATGAGTTCCACGATCATGATAAGGATAGGGTGTGAAGACATCGCGGGACACACCTCCTCAGGTTTGACCCATTCCTCTTTCGAGAGATGTTTGTGAGCGGCACTCTGGAGGATACCTCGACGCATACGGAAAACACGGTCGTAGGATTCTCGAGTGGGTAGACGGTTAATAGCCTGGTGTGTCAGTTTTGTAAACGATGCTGGATTGTGAGTGAAGCGCAAGGCTAGGATATATTCGCTGATTGGGTCGTGCAAATCCATCGTAAAACATGGCAGAAACTGGTGACAGAAGGAGAAAAGATATTCTGCCTTCGTTCTTCATCTGGCGTACATGGGTGAAGAGACTTGGTGGTATAAGGGATATGATAAAATAGGAATGTGTGATGATCTTGTACAAGAGGAGCAAGGTTTGATGAGATGGTAAAAGGAAAAAATCTCCTAGAGGGATGTGAACGCGACAAGAGAAAAGGATATAGAAACTCACCTTCTGTACATCCTCTCTCTCTTCAATGATCAAATCGTCATACCTCAAACCCATCTTCCTATGACCGGCCGCATTTGCGTAAATACTAGCAATGGGTTTCAAAGCGTTGTAAACTGATGGTATATGTTGTTTGAGCAGAGGAGCGAGTCTATGGGTAAGCTTGAGAATCCTTCGTCTCTCTTATCTCCATCCAGCCCTGTGGTTCTCGTCAATCTCATTTTATCTCTTATCGTCGATATCATGAAGAAACTTCTTCTCCTATCTCCCCGTATCTCATCTTGGACCAGATAACAATCATCAAACTTCGCATGAACTTTCAAATCCTGATTCGCCTTCCATATACCTGATCGTCTGTTTTTGCGGACAAGATCTGATAGAGAGAGAACATCAGACGTCATCACTATCAAGCCCACAAAGATGAGCGTTTGCTGTCAAAGTGACAGAAGCAAAAGTGAGAAATGGTTCTCCCAAACTCATGAGAAAATAATCTAAGCGGAGATCTGTTTTTGAAACTCTCGGTGGAAAGAAGACGACATCAGCAAGAAACTCACGACCAGCCAAGAGGACCTCCGATCAACATGATGTCCCACGGTCTTGTGGATATGAGATGTGATATTCGATGTGAGGTGTAGGAGGAGAAAGAGAGAGAGAGAGTTTAGATGGAGGGAAGGAATCAGGGGATGAACCAATCATGTTACGTCGTATCAACCAAGCGAATTGAATGTGGCGGAGTCCAGATTCGTGGCACCTCATCGTCATATCCTTCCTTCTCTTCTCTTACTTCACCCTCTCCCCTCTAGCTTCTGGGTATCAAAGCCTTCAAGAGTCTAGAGCGGGCTTGAAAGTGTATCAAAGGTGAAAGATAGATTCATACTTTATGACTTGATATATAATAATTCAACCTCAATTGAGGTGTCCACTTCAGACGCACTCCTACAGGTGAAAACGACAGGAATGGAAGGGACTCATGGAGAAACCATCGATCAGATCGAAACCGTCAATGATGGTTGTGAAGACGATGACCGTAGTGTTTCTAGCACAGACACTAGTTCGATACGTTCCTCAAACACATCCTGTCCTCCGACTCCATCCAGCATAGCTACCTCATTGGATGCTGAAGAAACCGATGATTTGATTCCCGACCTAACAGACAATTTCGATTCGTTCCCGCTTGATCCAACTTCAGGACCAGCTTATAGCTCCAATACGTACCCGGATGACCAAACGACAGACAGAGAATTCCCTGCGGTGAAGATCGTCCTTGATGGGGAATTGTCCTCGAGTTTGGCTCAAACACAATTCAGCTCTTCACGGATATTATATTCGAAAGGGCCGCACCCACCTTCCCCAGCCAGTTTGCGTGAAGATTCATCATCGGAACTTGTGGTACGACGTACATCCGACGCTTCAGATTTCCTTCCCTCCTCAGAACATCCCATCTGGTCCAACTCCTCATCCGATCTATTGTCTATCCAGACGACTGTTGTCGAGGCCTAGGGGAAAGGAGTATGAGTGATGTTCATGTTTATGAGTGTTTAGACGTATGTTGATTCTGTTCTTCATAGTGTTTAGGAAGGCATCTACGTGATAGGATGACGATGCATCTTAAAACACCCTTTCTCTTTCAAAATTCTTCCAAGCTAAGCGAAATCCACCCTCAAAGTCCCCAAAATATATTCCCTCGGTCTCAACCCGCTCCGCCTTTCTTGCGCGCTGACAAAGTCAGAAGGTGAGTGGAGCGACTCTTCCCGGCGTTTGAGACTAGCTCTTTATAAATCAAGAAGCTAAGTGGAGTCGAGAAGAAAAGAAGGTGGGAAAAGATAGATGAACGAATAGAAGAAGATTTCATCGCCCCGCAAAACCATCACTCACACATCCTTTCTAGTATCACCCAAACAGGAGATTGATGGTACCTTCTCTTTCGGAGGCTTCGGATTGGGTTGCTAAGCCTCGGCCGGTTGACCGAACGATGAGGAGGTTAAATAGCGATGACATATTGAAGTCCTTCATCTTGAACTTCATCTACGATTTTTGAACGACCATCGCTATCCATTCCTCATTCTACACATTTTTCACATTTTTCACATTTTTCACATTGATCGTCAGTCTACTCACCTAGATTCATACGATAAAGATGCCCGGAAACGGATCTACTGGAGACAGCAATGGAGAGGAAGACAAATCATACGAATTCGACTTGATTTCGGACTCTCGAATGCCTGGGGATCAGTCATCGTCGTTCGACCTGCTCGACTCTAAGATGCCTCTTTCGGAAGATAGAACCACGGCTCCTGCTCCCACGTCCGATTCTGTCTTGAAAGTCGGCCAGGGTGAAGACGGTCCCGTCACCATTAGGTGCAGACTGTCAGTATCTTCTGACCTGATTACGAGCGTGAAAGATGCGGGTCGTCTGCTCTTAGAGGCGTGGTCGGTTCTGACACAGACTCACGGTGACAAGTTTCGAGACGCATTAGAGGCGGGGTGGAGTTTGTGGAGACTTGAATTGGGAGGTTCGGGCGGGAATTCTATCCTCGCGGCCGAACCTGAGGATACCAACAAGGAGAACGCATCTGTCGAGCATTCGGGTGACCGTGCCTTTTCTGACTCAATTGATCATAGACACAGTGTAGTTGTCGAATATTGGGTACAGAGACCAGCCGCCTCCATGGTCATGTCCAAACTCTGAGACCATCGCGGCGGATGAAGCACATTCTGTAGTACTAACTCTGCTTACACTAACATAACTCCCGACTTGTCTCACCTCGAGTGATCTATTGTGGGGAACGCTGATTGTATACGCGGAGAATGATTTGATTGGATGAGTAACATATGGTATCAGGAGTAATTATCGATCATTGACTCACATGCATGTTTTGACGTCCGATCAACCGATGTCCGTACCAGCTCACTTATGATGATCCCTCGAAGAGTTCAGAAGATCCATAACCGTCGTAGCCATCCACATTCACACGAAATTCTGACCTGCCGGGGTATTTTTGTATTCTTGATCGATGATGGTGGTCGGCTAGAACGAGGCATAGAATGATGAAAGGATCATCAATAGATGAGAAACTTCGACGTCGTCGCCTCGTGTGATATAAAATTGCCAACTTCGGTTAACAGGTAAAGGCGAATAATCACATCATCTCGTTTCGATGTCTTCTTCATCTCCGCCAAACACTCTCGCAGTCACCTTCCCTTCAAATGCACGGGGTCTCATTCATATTGTCGAAAGTCCGACCTCGCACCATCCTTTGTCATGTGGATATATATCTGATATATCAGCTGTCAATATCCCTCTGTCAAAAAAAAGTGTTCATATTGTAGTGAAAATAGGCATATTCCACGTAACAGACGACTCACCATGCCGGATTCTTCATTTATCCCTCCCTTACATATACATTCAGAAAGTGCTGCCACCGAGACGAACGCGGGAGAACCGAACACTCCCCATGAACGTCGCTTTGAGCGGGAAACCCATCTCTCGCCCTTAATGACGGGAACGAACATTTCCCCCATTAGTAAGACGACCACAATCTTCTCAAATCAAGCTTCTTCAATGGTCGGTTCGACAGGTTCACGACGTACTTCCGTGACTTCCGCACCACCCTTAACACCTCACTCTGCTGCTTCCAACGGGGAGCAGTCGGACGATGAAGAACTCATCGATGCTCTGATGGAATGGGTAGGAAGTGACTGGGGGTCCTCTCAAGAAATATCTGGCAATTCGATGAACAGCTCTGGGAAATCGGGGGATGAGGCGAGTGTAGATAGGGAAGAGCTCATTGACGCTTTCATCGAATGGGTAGACGGTGATTGGAGTTCTTCCTTAGCTAGTTAGAGACAGTCTAGGTAGTCAGCATATGAAATTTTTGTTCCCTTCAAATTATTCTGAATCAGGATGAGCTTGAAATTTCAGACGTCGGTGGACGAAATCGACCTTACTATGATTGGAAAGATCCTTTGTCAAATCAACCCCGCTACCTCCCTTACCTTACCCCAGTTTCATATCCCGCTCGTCTTCTTTCTCGACTTTTCTAGCATTGCAGTAAACTTACTGATCATTAGCATCATACAATTCACTCAACATGCCTCCTCATCCATTACGCCAAAGTATGATTCCTCCCAGTGCTCCTTCCACATCCTCCTCTTCCGCTTCTTCCCGTCGGTCATCTTCCACTCAATCTATCACTTCCGTCAGAATGTCACCCAAACCTATGGAAGAACAACCAAAATGGTTTCTCTCACCTCATCACATCCGTACTTCTGCCTGCGCCTGCTGTCGTCAACTTCGCAACAATTTCCCAGCTCAAGAGTTCTTGAACACAACAAATGATCGTTTTGCCAAAGTCTACCACCGGCTGCTTTCCCATTCTCCACCCGAGGCGGTGGCTGTCGCGGGTGAAAGAGTCGCAAGACAGCTTCGACAAGAAGGATGGGAACTTACACATGTTGTGGGTAAAGAACGTCCTTCAGAGGCACGAAGAGAGATCAGTATATACTTTCTCGTACCTTGCAATATGGAGACAGGCGGAAGTTTGAGTCATCGTTGGGTCGCAGAGGTTCTGGTCCACTTACACAAAGGAAAGAGGGAAGGCCAAGTTGAAACTGTCGCTATACGTTTCTCGAACGATTGGGAAGACTGGACGGTATGTCAAGACAAGCAAGTTTTACGAGACGAGTCACAAAGTATCAGTATCGTTCACAACCCTCATCCGGGAGGAGGACGTTTAGGTGTGAGTGACCTGGTGATGAGTCAAGTTTGGCAGGCGGTAGTGGATCAACTTGGAGGAGGGGACGAAGGTTCTGCGACCGATCTGGCGAGTAAGGTCGATCTTACCATCAAACATCTTCAATTAGACGATTCTGGACCTGTAGTAAAATTCGAGATTGAAACCGTTTACCTCCTCTTGCCTTCTGGCGACCATCTACCGTGTATTCGAGTCGCCCTTCACCAAGAAGAGCAGAACACAAACGGACAGAATGATGACAGTCCGAAGAAGACACATGTCCCAGCTACGGTCATGATTGAGACGAGTGTTCGACACAAGCGTAGGAGATTAAAAAATGTCGCAGTTGCATACAAGGCTGAAGCCCCGATGTGGCATCATTACCGTCGTTTGCCCGGTCCACCAAACTTTCAAGGTCTTGAGGTGCTAGTGCAGGGTCCTAAGGAGGGGAGTGGATTCAACTCGTCAGGGAACGTGTCAGATGCGTCGAGTGAGTGAGAGGGTGGAGAGGGGATGGTGTATGACTCGAGGCAGGATGCATGAGTTCAGAATGGTAATTGTGATCGTGTAGATGATTTGGTCTCCGCTGACGTCTGTCGTGTCAATATAGCAACCTGTGTCGAAGTGTAGATGACTTACCTTTCTCCAATCCGCTACCAATTTATCCATGCCAGCCATACGATCACTCAGCTCTTTCTCTCGCTGTGACCGTTGTCGTTGAAATTTATGTCCTTTGAATCGTAATCTTCTCCCATCGTATGGCGTCTTGTGCTCTTTTGGTGTTGGATCCCCGTCCCAGAGTATCTCGACCTCCCCTTGAGGAGTCTGTACCGTCGTCGTCGAGTTTGCATCCACCACAGGAGACGGCGGCAGGGACCGAAGGGGGTATCGAGAGACCATCTTTTTCTGAGCGCGACGTGAGAAGCGAGGTACGATGACGTTAGGTGAAGGTACTTCGACTTTAGAAGGAGATTCTGTGAGGTGTGAGGGGAGTCTCGGAAGCTTATGAAGAAGGAATGGATTGCGGATGACCATGCTGCCAGTGTCATGTTGTCGGAGATGATGTTTGATGAGCTTGGCTATACTGGGATGGAAAGAGGTAAGAGGGATGGCTTGTTGAGAAACAGGAAGATTGGGTGTTGATTTGGGAGCTTTGGTGGATAATAACCTTGTGACCAGGGACATGCTGTTCGCCATGATGAGTGTCTTGTTCGTCGTTGTATCACGTTGCGAGGAGAGGAAATGCTCGGCCGAAGGGTTGGACATGCATGGGAGAAAGTCGTGCCACATTGACATTATGGAAACGCCGACATAACGCCGTTCCGTTACTTGTTCCCTGACCGACCCGAATCCCATTCGCTCAGAGCAACATTCCTCCTCTTCTTCTCTCCCCCACGTTTCCCTTCTCTCAGTCTCATACTTTAAAGTCACTGCCATCATGACTTTGGTCACCCGTTCGGCCATGCGCATGTCGCGCCGTGGGGTTCAGGCCATGAAAAACGCCAGGGCTAATGCCGCTTTCTTCAATACTTCTGCCCGTGTAGCCCAGCAAGCCGTCCCCACTTTGACCGCTCAGAGCAGTCGGGTCAGCGTTCCTCAGCAACATGGTGGGTCTTCCTGTTCTTCCACATGCTTGTCACCCCAGAGGTTTATCATATGTGTCACGAGTATGGAGATGATCTGTCCTTCTGCGGCCAGGAGGTTTCCCGATTCAATTTGTATGTCATGGGAGAATCTTGCTAAAAACGCAGCCTCTTCCACCCGTACCTACGCCACACCGTCCAACCTACAGACCGGATCCATCAAGACGGTCATTGGTGCCGTCGTCGACGTCCACTTTGACACGGACGATCTTCCCCCTATCTTGAACGCTCTCGAGGTGCAATTCGCCGAGGGTCAATCAACAGTCTCAGGTGGTCGTCTCGTCCTCGAAGTCGCTCAACACTTGGGTGAGAACACTGTCCGTACCATTGCTATGGACGGTACCGATGGTCTTGTCCGTGGACAGAAAGTCGTCGACACTGGCGCCCCGATCAAAATCCCCGTCGGCCCCGCAACCCTCGGGTGAGTTCTGCTCTTCACCTCGGAGATAACGAAAAATACGTATTGACGAACAGCCGTATCATGAACGTCATCGGTCAGCCTATTGATCAACGTGGTGAGATCAAGGGTGTCAAGTTGGCCCCGATCCACGCCGAGGCACCTGAATTCGTCGACCAATCCACCCAAGCTGAAATTCTCGAGACCGGTATCAAGGTTGTCGACTTACTCGCGCCTTATGCTCGTGGAGGAAAAATTGGTCTTTTCGGTGGTGCTGGTGTCGGCAAGACTGTGCTTATTCAGGAACTCATCAACAATATCGCCAAGGCCCATGGTGGTTACTCTGTGTTCACCGGTGTCGGTGAGCGTACTCGTGAGGGCAACGATTTGTACCACGAAATGAGAGAAACCGGTGTCATCAACCTCGAGGGAGAGTCCAAAGTGGCCCTTGGTCAGTTCTGTTCAATCGCAGCTCGCAATCTTGCTGATCTTTAGTCTTCGGTCAAATGAACGAGCCCCCTGGAGCTCGTGCGCGTGTCGCTCTTACGGGTCTGACCATCGCCGAATACTTCCGTGACGAAGAGGGTCAGGATGTGTTGCTCTTCATTGACAACATTTTCCGATTCACCCAGGCCGGTTCCGAGGTGTCTGCTTTGCTTGGTCGTATTCCTTCCGCTGTCGGGTACCAACCCACACTCTCAACCGATATGGGTGGTATGCAAGAACGAATGTGAGCGTGGTCTGGATGCCCCGTTGAGTCTTTTGGCTGATGAATCAGCACTACCACGAAGAAAGGTTCCATCACTTCAGTGCAAGCCGTTTACGTGCCCGCCGATGATTTGACCGATCCTGCCCCGGCCACCACCTTTGCCCATTTGGACGCCACCACTGTGTTGTCCCGATCTATCGCCGAGTTGGGTATCTACCCCGCTGTGGACCCTCTTGACTCCAAATCACGTATGTTGGATCCTCGTGTTGTCGGAGAGCGTCATTACCGCGTTGCCACCCGTACTCAACAAATCCTTCAGTCTTACAAGTCGCTCCAGGACATTATTGCCATTTGTGAGCTTCCTTCGTATCTACCTGCCGCCTGTGTGCTGACCAGTGTCAGTGGGAATGGACGAGTTGTCTGAAGAGGACAAATTGACTGTCGAGCGAGCGCGTAAAATTCAGCGTTTCATGTCGCAGCCATTCGCCGTCGCTCAGGTCTTCACCGGTATCGAAGGTCGATTGGTCCCTTTGAAAGAGACTATCGAGGCTTTCGAGGAGATCCTCGACGGAAAGCACGACCATATCTCTGAGAACTCTTTCTACAGTGGGTTTCATCAGTCTCGTCCAAGTCTGTAGCGGTGACTGACGGACAGTGGTCGGTGGTATCGAAGATGTCAAAGCCAAACATGAGAAGGCTATCAAAGAACAGAGCTAAATAGATGGTACGAGAGTGGGATCTTGATTGGTTCGGTCAGCATGTGCCGCTCTGAAATGGGTCTTACTGTCGTCTCGTAAAAAATGAATGGCAAACTGCATGGGATGTTACTGATCGGGCTTGAGCTGACCCTGCGAGTATCTCGACAACCTCGTGTCATATCGACATGCATATCGGGGACAACGTCGAACTACATATCAAACTACTGATCTCTCAACTCGCGGTCGATCTTCACCTTGTCATACCACCTTGTCCTGGTACTGATATACTTTTTCAATAGGACCCCACCTCCAGCAGACTGAAGCGGTATGATCGACTCCATGTCAGTCTCTATCCGACGATCATATCATCACAGAAGGGATTTCGAACCCGCTCAACCTCTCAAAGGCGCTTGGAGGGAGTTGGAGTGGTGAAACGTAACTATCATCGAAGACAGCCATAAGTTTCGGTCCAGGAGGTATGGTACGAGGAGAGAAAAGTACCGAGTCTAATTTCCCCATAACCTCCATCATTTCCTCTTCTCCCTCAATCTCACACCCATTTTCCACCTCTCTCATTTCTGACGACTGCCCCTCCTGACTTACAACACCAATGTTGTCAAAAGAGAAATCTCCCATCATTCCAAGACTCAACTTCCTACTTGTCATTCCAAGCACTTCCGAACATTCTCCTTCCATCCCTTCCGATTCTGTTTCTTCAAACACTCCCGAATCAACTCTAGGAGTCCTCTCAAGACATGTATCACAATCACACGGACCACCAAGTTTCAAAGCCTCTGCCAAAGCGATTTGATATTCTTCTAAATCCGTATTTGGGAACATACCTTCGTAACAAGATAAATTTGGTGAAACTTGAGGTGGTGGGGGTGTATCATTAGAAGATCCACTATCTGTCCTTTTTGGCATCAAAAAGATTGGATCTGGTTGATCGTATTCTGAGAAACATCCTGTGGTATTTTGAAAGTGAAAGAAATGTGAATCGTTTTGTTTATTTTGTATAGAATAAGGAGGACTTATCAAAAGAGGAGAATTTGAATCTTGATCTGCACAAGTAGAAAAAGTTGGAGAACCATGAATAGTAGGTAAAAGTGGTAAAGCGCCTCTTTTACGCCAAGGTCGTGGGGAATAGAATACGTTGTCGTATAATGATGGTGAACCTTTTCCAAATTTAAATCCCCATTCTTCTTCATTTTCTTTTTCCATGACTCCTTTTCTATCTTCATCTCCGTTTGACAAAAGTCTCTCCTCGGCATGTTTTCTTGAAATCCTTTTTGATATTCTTCTCTTACTTGAAGATTCTCCAAATGTCATACTCCAAGACGAGACCAACCTCGCAGGAGTCGAAGGTACTCCATTTGATAAACTTGCAAATGAACTCATTGCTTCTCCTGAACATGTTCTCATGGAAGGATAAGTAAAAGTAGTAGTATCGAAAGCACCACGAGATAAAGATAATGGTGATGCTGGTGAAAGAGGATGTGGGATATTATATATTGCAGAAGAACGTCTATGTCCTCTTCTTGTATCCGGACGTGAAACGGGGGGAAAAGTAGGTGGAGGGATTGATAAAGTTGAAGATATGATAGATTGAAGGAATTCTTCTCTTTCTCTTTTATCTTCATCATGTGAAGAATGGATAGAAGAATTATGAATGTCGAGTTTTTCGATAATCCGAGTTGGTGTGGAAGATCTTGATCGTACATCTACATCCTCAACATGTCGACCATATAATCGATCATTTGGAGAATTATACGATTTGGATCTTTCAACTCCATTATGACATCTTGTTTGTTTGTTTGAAGAACCATTACTCGGAAGACCACCCAAAGAAATAGTTCGAGGAGAAGAACCATTCTTATCATTTCTTATCGATCCCGATTGTGAAATAGATGATTGAGGAAATCGAGGTGCGAAAGTATATTTAGGTGTATATTTAGGATTTGGTAATCCCACTTCTAATTCTTTACTTTTCGGTTGTCTTATCCTTGACTGAGGTCTAGAACGCCATTGAGTGAATATCTTATTTTTAGTCTTTTCTAATTTTATAGATAAAATTTCTTCTCGTTTAATGGAATTATAATCCCAATCGTTTTCTTCGGGATTCACAATGATCATCTCTTCAAGTTCAGTTTCTTCCATTTCTAATTTTTGAATGGAACGGATGGAAAATGCTGTTGACCATGAAGACATTTTACGTAGTTCAGGTCTTTTCATTTTACCTGTTGAACTTTGTAACATTTGTTGAGATTGTCCCACCTGTTGAGTTTGAGTTTGTGACTTTGGTTGAGATTGAACATCCCCTTTGACCAGAGATGATCGTTTTGATTGTTGTTGAATTGACATACGTATAGGTGTTATAGGTGTTACAGGTAATGAAGAATCTAAAGAAGATCTTGAACCCATCGAAGAGAAAGAAGAACGTAATTGATTATCTTCCATATCGATAGTATAATCCGTATCGAAAGAAGATCTACTTGTACCATAAAGTAAAGAATTTTTTCTTGTTTTTCTTTGTTCATTCGGATTGCTATACATTGGGAACATACCACTCATGAGAGATATCTGTTGGTTCACAGACGAACACGATGATGATGATTTCATCCCGGTTTCTGTAGTTGGAGAAAGAGTATGATCCATCTTTTTATCCCTCAAAGCAGCAAGAGTAGGTAAAGAATCTAATGTTGATCCTGATAAAGAAGGTCCGGATAAAGCTGGTAAAGTAGCAAGAGAGATTAGAGTTGGCATAGAAAGATTAGGAAGGTTTGAACCTGGTATAGATGATAATGCTTTGGAAGCGTTGAGAGGGATAGGAGATGAGATGTTGAGTTTTGGTTGAGAACGAGTAGAACGACGACGAGAGAATAAAGACATGATGCGAATGAATCCTCTTTGTTGTTTCAAGTCTTGAACGAAAAATTCCTGGAGAACTTGTATTGGATTGTGATGTCCGATAGGACTACAGGGATCGTTGAAGGAGTGGATCGTCCAGAGGGATGATGATTCGGCCGGGTTGAGAAATATGGGGTGAGATATGGAATGGGCTTGAGATCCAAGGTCTGAATGTCAATTACAACTCCAGCTTTGACAAAATCGACTTACCTTGTGAAAGATCAAAGATCAATTACTAAATGGACGAGATCAGAAAGGTTGTAGAGTGAGGTAAGAGTGGTGAGGAGGAGTGTCGTTACCAGAACGACACCTATCAAATAATTGTCACGAGAAATCAACCACTACAGCACCAGGCTATCTTTTGAATGTTTTTCGACTTGCGAGACTCGTTCAAAAGTTATCAAGTTGATTGACAAGTGGATGTGGTAGCAGACGATGAGTAACAAGGAGTAAGATGAACAGAGGAGAAAAGAAAAAAGATCTCAGACCTGCCGAGGAGATTCAAATTGAATGATTTCTTTCTTCCTTTCCCTTAACACCTTATATCTTCCTTACTCACCATGGTTCACACTTCAAAACCAATGACGAGTTCGGTCACCTGGATGATGGATTGGGAATATGGTCGAATACGTCTACAATGTCGGATATACATTTGTGCAAGTGGTCAAATGACGTTTTAGACGAACGGAAGCGGAAATGCAACTTTCCGTGCGTCGATCGAATCCGGACGTCTGGTAATTCCATCCAGGCTGTGTCGAGAAATATTGAGGGAACATCATTCAATACTGTAGACAAGTTGCGAAAGGACATACTGGTTGTTCAGCGTTATGAAACAAAGATTCGATGATGAGATAGAGAAGAAAAGAAAGGATGCATTGGAATATGAAGAAAGACACAAAAGTCAAACAGAAATTGACTTAATCAACTTTCATCAAGTCGATTTCTACCAAGTCAACCTGATGAACTATCTTTCCTTCCTCGACCTTAACATCGGCAATAAGCGGTTCTACCTCATCATCCAACCCACACGACCCATTACACACCTGCTCATCTTTCCGAGCATCCCTCTCCGTCTGATGTTCAGGAGCCTTGATCGCTTGACCAGAATCCGCAGGAGAAATCTGTATTCCTTGAGCAAGATCCGAATTACCCTCGCTAGCACGAGTGGCCTTCTTGCAAAAACCACACCAGTGCATGGAGCAATAAGCAGCTTTAGCGCAGCTTCTCTTGCCATGACTCTCACGACACCTTTCGCTTAGTGCCGGAGGAACAGCGACGGGTTGAGGACAAGGTAGGATTGCGTAAGGGTCGATGGGTTGTCCAGAGGGAGGGGGGTTGATAGTGTGGGCCATGGCGTAGCCTTTGCAAGTGAGTGACATTGTGGTGTCCTGTGGGTTGATGGGTACTGGAGGAAAGACCTGTTGGTAGAGATTGACGGGTTGATGTAAGGATCGTGTGTGTGGATAGAGTGTTGAGTAATGAAGTGGAAGTTGGGCGGCAAGATGGTAGGCACCGACTTGGGGTTGGAAACGATTTTCGATGTTTTGTTGTAAGTTGGAGGGTGTAGTGATATTGGTCGGACGATGCAAAGGTGTGTGCGGTGGGTATCTGGATGGTTGTTGAGTTTTGAAGTGGTGAGGGTGAGAGGGTGTGAAGACTGAGCTTTAGTCTCATATCCTACCCAAATATCTAGAGTTTGAACTCAGAGGGCATAATGGAGAGTGGAAGAAACGATGAAAGGACGTGAATCAGTGTGAGAGAAGGGCAGAAGGGGAAAGGAGAGGGATAGATGAGACTTGTCAGACGTACCGAACTTTCCAACGATGAGCCTTAAACATGTAATCACTTATACCCACCATTGTTGATTGCTCTCTACTCCTTCCAAGCTCGACGTCCTTGAGCCCGCCTACTCATGTTTTGAGACTCAAAGGCATTACACAATCCTATTGAAGTCTTCTCCAGAAGGATGACAATGGAGCGTAACGATATCTTCTCGACCACTGGTGGTTTGACTCATATAGGTGACCCATTGACAGCGAGTGCAGAGGGGAATAATACGAGAGCACCGTGACGAGTCTGGGAACGAACAGGGGAATATTGACGTCGTAGAGTAATGTCGAGTGAAAGGCTAGAAGAAAGAAAGTAGGGACATGATCGATGAATAGATTTTTCGACTCGTACTGGGACCGTAAAATAAGACCTCTCATCCTTAACAAGGGAATAATGACTTCAAAGTCTTAGGAGAAGTCAAGATAAAATCCTTATGACCAATTTCCAATTTATCAAATTCATCCATATCCGAATCATCCGTTGGTGGACTATACCTAGAAGTTTCGTATTCAAGCTTTCTCCGCATACTCAAATTAACGATCTTCTTTCTTTCCATAATGCTTCTTTCATCAGGTTCATCTCCTTCAACTTGCGTCTCGAAGTCCATCTGTACTTCTCGTATTGTTGTTGTTGTTTCCCGCATGGTCACTCGGCGTCGTTTATCCGAAGAAACCCGAAGATTATCCTGAGATAGGTTCTTCGACGCTAAACGGGCGTCACGGACGTTACGTCGATAAAAAGGAGAGTAAGTTTCGGGGTAATTTAATTCTGGAGAAGAAATTTCACGGATTGACCGGGGTGAAGAGGTTGATTTGGATGATGTTGATCCTTGGCGACATTCATCGTTTCGCTTGGTGAGTCTTTCAGTTGGGGTGTGGTTGATAGTCGGTATCTTCCGCCGACCGGTACTAGTAGAGTTCAAGGAAGCTGTTCGACCATTGACGACATCGTTGGTAAGAGGTCTTTTTCGAGGAAGAGGCGTGGAGGAGTTGGAGGTGGAATGCACCACTTTTTGAGAGGCGATAGATGACGGGGTGCGAGTGATTGGGATCGACTGCTCTGGTTCATCCTCCGATAAGAGATCTATTGGAGATGTCCACGAGCCCGCATGAGGGAGAGGAGTTCGAGTGGTTACGTCCGAGGGTTCAGGGACAGACTGAGGCTCAGAATCGGATAGAGCGATGGGATTTCCTTGACTACCTACTCCATCCTGGTGGATCGTAGTTGAAGCAGGAACTCTTGAGCTACTGGTAGCAGTGGGTCTCACACGAATGTAGGATTGAAAGTAGGTGTCGCCGAGTGGGTGTTTTGGCATGATTCAAAGTAGGGTGGACTTGTTGGAAAACCGTGAAGCGTTCCTTTTTTGAAGGGGACTTTATCAAGTCGTTCTTGAGCTGTGAACGATGGCGGTCCGTATGGCGATACCTTAGCAGGGCCCAGGGTAGGAGATGAAGAAAATGAACGAAATGTGAGGGGTAAAAGTTTCGAGGACCGTGCTGATGATCAATCCCCACAATTGGGCCATCAATCCATTCCCCACTGACATCACCTAGCTACCCCACACCGACCACCTATGGCAATTGCCCCAATGCCCAATGGGGATATGGAACAGGTCGCAGCATTGGGACAATCTGTAAAACAACATCTATGCATCGACACTTTATAGATCTAACTCACTCGTGATCACTTGGACTGATTACACTACACTTTAGCTACTCCACGTCGCGCTCAGTCCAGATAAGACACGTTCCATGTTCTCCCTTCCGACCTCTGCCCATTCACCTCCAACATCCTTTCCCAGTTCATCCGCGTTAGGTTCTTCTTTCCATCCTCCGCGGAGCCACTTGACACCACGGTCTTTGCTCTTGAGTAAGAGATCACGAGCGTGATCTTTGGCCTGAGGAGAGGGGGAACGCTGGGCAAAGTACATGGCGATTCGCTGTCACGTTAGTATGCGTTCATGAATCATTCATCACAATCCTCAGCACAACATGACGAGCCAACAACATAAGAATAGTTACGAAGCATTCGCGATGAACAGAGAGGAAGTAAGAAGAGAGAGAGATAGTACTGACAGGAGGAACCGTCACCCGGCCAATTTTGAAGCAATATTCGTGCATCGTGATGCAGCATACCACACCGCCATCTGCTCTCACGGGCGGTGCGTCGTAGAAGGCCTTCTTGACTAGGCCCGCAGGCCCGTTCTGAGGAGTGTTGGTGCCCGACGGGCCTTCCGATGAAGTTCCCGAAGACGAGGCCAAGTTGGGCACGGCCAAAGCAGGAACTTCGGCTTTGGTGTCTGCATTGGCGGGAGGGGCCCCAATGGTTCGAGACTTTTTGGATTTCTTGGGATGAATGATGAATTCTGTGAGGACGTACATCCTTCAGGTCAGCTTGCATAGTCCGACTTGCTGAATCCAGGAGCTCGCCAGGTACTTTAGACGGATTTGCTTTGGGTGTGACAGGGATCAAACGAGTTTGACTCACCACTTCTCACCCCAGCCGACTACCCTAGCTTCCATGGTGTAATTGGACAAGAATGGGATCTCTTTGAAGAATATATAGTGCGAGGCGCCCATAGCTATGTATACACCTGATATGAGCCTTCACCAAGTGTGTTTTGTTCCGTGACGTACCTGGGGTGAAAACAGGACCAAATGAATCGATACAATATTGCATACGAACCGCATCACCGTTCTTCGCGTAACAACTAAAAGATAAGCATTCCATCATATTCTTTCACACTAAATGTCATCTCTTTAGGAATGAGCAAGACAGGTATGTTTACTATACATGTACTCAGAGACAAAAGCGGATAAACTGACCTGTTGGATAGATGAAAATTGTAATCACAATCGTCTACAAAAACCATCCTACTCTGAGTCGCCCTGACATCACGAAGATTAGGCATCTTCTCCACTTTCCTTCGATACTCATCCAAAAACCCTTTTCGACCTTTGGTCCATACTTGCCAATAAGTCCACACCGCGTGTTTCCATAATCTCACGTGCCAAGCAAAGGGAAATGATTGTACGTTGAGGGCGATGATGAGGATAAAGCCTAATTTGACTATGAATCAGCCGCATCCCTATACCTACCACCTCACACATGTGCATTGCTCTCAATCGAAGACAAGAACTCTTGTCACATCGCGACACAGCATCTTATGAACAGAACCGTGGGATTCTATCCCTCAGATAGGAAGAAAACACTCACCCCATTTGGGTACAAAGGGTAAAATGAGTCTGTCAGACTTTGGAAGAGACACGATGTAATCTCGGATGACGGCGATAAGCTGCATTGGGGAATGAGAAGTGGACGCATTGAAAGATGGGATTCGGTCGAGCATTTCAAGTCGAGGATATAGTGACGATACGAGTTAATGAAGATGTGAGTAGAAGAAGCAGGAGAAAGGCAATTCGTCAGCTTTTCAATCAATTCTAGTGAGATAAAAGCCGGTAGGCCGGTGTAAGTTAAGGGGAGGGAGACGCACTCTAGGTCCAGAGAGGGCAGGTGAGGCAACGGAGGGACGCGACATGAGTGAGCACCCCTGATTATGGGTTGAAGCAGTAAGCTAGCAGTACAAGCAGTAAATGGGAGCGAAATGGGGTCAGAGGGAAAGTAAGGAGGATCACATTGCGTCCGAGGGTCATGCATCAAGTTTCAGTGGCCAGTGGGGATGCGCCATCACCAACCAGTTTGATAATTATACTTCCGAAGGATGGTACAAGTAACTATGACGTGTGATGACTTGGACCTTACTCTCTGGTTCTACAACGGAGCAAGTAGTAGTACATCACCATGCCAGACCCAACGATCAAAGGTCTACCTCCCCCTCCTACGACCTACGACGGGTCTTCACTACGAATAGCCATCGTACACGCTCGTTGGAACACAGTCATCATTGATTCTCTCGTTCAAGGATGTATCACCAAACTTCAATCTCAAGGTGTCAAAAGGGAGAACATTGTGGTTAAGAGTGTTCCGGGGAGTTACGAATTACCTTTTGCTTGTCAACGGTAAGTTACTTACCCCCCCCTCCTCTGTCCAATCCCACACATGCTCCCATCTTTCAACTCTATCCTGATCAAATCCTACTTCCTTCCGTCCCAACTCGGTGGAAGGGATCAAGCTCATATACCAGACTCATAGCTGCAGGCCAAATACAATCTTCCAACTCTGCTCCGTCCATGCTCACCTCAACTACCAACCTACTTTCCCTCATCGATACTACCGATAGACCTTCCACACCTGTGGGTCCCACCTCTGCCTCTGCCTCAACAGCATCTACAGCTCCTTTCTCCGCTGTCATCGCCATTGGATGTTTGATCAAAGGCAGTACCATGCATTTCGAGTATATATGCGATGCTGTGACACATGGGTTGATGAGGGTTCAGTTGGATACGGGGACGCCGGTGGTTTTTGGGGTATTGACGGCTTTGACGGATGATCAGGCTTTGGAGAGGGCTGGGATTGGTAGAGGGGAGAATGGAGCTGGACATAGTGGGTATTTTCATTAGCTCTGTCATAATCACATCTCTGTCGGCCCTCTAGAGTGTCAAAATGATATGTGCGGGGTGCGAGTAGGACAAATGAAGACGACACATTCCGTGTTCTGCGCTTTCCAGTGACAAAAGGGCAAATTGCGGTTGAATGATGAAGATGAACGCTGACGATAGATCACGGCGAGGATTGGGCTTTGGCGGCGGTAGAACTAGCTAGTCAATGTTCTGACTGGGCCAAGGGACAACTCTAGATATGCACATCTTCTCGCTCCGCTATTCTTACTGATCATTTCGTTCTTGTCCTCCCTGCTCCTCAAATGATACCTTCGCATCTCATTCCTGCTACAAGTCTTACAGTCTCATAATCAAATCGATGCCAACACTCCCCGGGACGGCCAATCGAAACGGCCCTATCAACATAGGTCAAACATGTCATTAGTGACTGCCATTACATTACGAACACTGTACACGTCTCATCTCCCCATCGTCAACGCAATGTGTGCAGATGTCTAACTGAACGCTACGAGGAATTACTGAAGAATGGCTGCATAGTAGCTGGGGCACGCTACAAGAATAAAGAATATATCATATTGTCCATTCATTTCATCCGAGCACCGTAATGCGTGTTTACAAGCCGAGTCCACCAAGCAGACCGCCGAGGAGACCAGCGAGACCAGGGACGAGACCTCCGACGAGAGATCCGAGAAGACCTGTGACACCAGCGAGAAGACCGCTAAGACCGAGGTCACCGAGAAGGTTCTTGACGAGTTGAAGGACACCAGCAAGGAGGACTTCGACGGCGAAGAGGACGGTGGCGAGAGCAGTGTCGACTTGACCGATGATGTCTTGCTGATTGGTCAGTGGGAGTTCTCAACTATGACGCATTTTCGACCAGATAAAAAGACTGTCAAAACGAGTGAGGCGATAGCTGATGTATACTTGGATAAGGGATATATGATCATGAATTAAAGACAAGGGAAAGATGGGAGGGAAGGAAAAATGAGGAAAGTTAATACTGACCACTTCAGGAAGGATAGAAGTGTCAACTTGTTTGATAAGACCGTCGACGTCTTTGACAACGGTGGCGAGGAGTCCAGCGACTTCAGAAGGAATGTCATCTCTCCTGTTGCGTTAGTTTGTTCTCACCCTCAAGATCACTGATCCAATTACTCTTCGTCGAATGTAATGGGAAAAGAGTCTCCTGGGACTAATCACAACATCGTGAAGATAAGAGTCGAACGTGACGACACTATGTGTGGTCTAAGGAATAGGATGAAGTGGATGACGGGACTACTCACTTGAGAGAGATACCAAGATCAGCAGCAAGACCAACGTTAACGTTGAGAAGATCTCCACATTGTCCCAAAGCGACGTGAATTTTAGTGAAAACTTCTACGACGGCAGTAACGTCCGTCACTCCGATTAAAGATCCACAACCAGACTGAACGACTCAGCAATTTCCCTCTTCTCTACTCAAGAAAGAAAACTTACGACAACTTCGACGACAGCTTGAACAGCAGCGACAACATCGACTTGAGTATCTTTCTTCACTAAAGATTCTTCGGCTTTAGGAGTAGGAGCAGAGAAAGCAGTAGCTACAAAAGGTAAAGCGAGGAGAATAGAAGTGAAACGCATTTTGTTTTATGAATTGAGAAAGTTTAAAAAGAATGTGAGTGTGTGTGGTGCTTGAATTACTTGGAATGGAAAAGAAATATGGAAATGTAAAAGATTCGAATGATGAAGGGCATGAGAGAAAAAACAGAGGTATTTTATATCTTTTTCTACCCTACCTCTGTTCAACACCCACGTCTTTCTTCGTCAGTTCGCGTTAGGGAAGGGGGGGGGGGAGGGGAGAAAAAGTTACTAAAATTGGATTATCACTTTGACTTTGATACCCTTAGATTTCATTTCACGCGTAGTAAGAAAGGATGAAGCAAAGGCGTTTTAAATACGAGCTAAAGAAGAAGAAAAAAGGGATACGGTATATGAAGGAACTCTACTCCCTTACTACTAAAAATATACATTTCATGATTTCCTACTAAAAGTAAAAATCGTAACACGGATCATGAGGTCGACAGCGACTGGAATGAAGAATGACGAAGAGGCGTCATAAGTCCAAAGCCACCCCATGGTCATGTAAGTGACTTGTACTTTGTCGTCCGTCAAAAGGAAGGATTTGATACACATTCCTCGACATAGACTACTATGATATGGTGGATGAGAGGAAAGGATTTTATTTGTCAACCAAGTTAGTACAAACGGACTTGCATAGATTCGAATTCCGTCCACACAAACCAAGGAAATCTATTCCATATTTTGGAAAGACGGACAATGTCTTACACATACACAGATACATGGATACCTTTAGAAGTTCACTTGGTCTAAAATTCGGATCAATCACACACCGCATCATGCAACCATCACGGATGTGGACGACAAGTTTTTTGTGTAATCCCCACCAACCCCACATACGTCATATCGTTTCCCTCAGCTACTGTACCAATTGACGCTCAAAGCTCAGTGATCAGTGACGATTTGACCAAGTGATGGAGTGTAATGAAGGTCCAACCCCCCATATTGAAAGCCACACCTGTACTAGACCACCATAAATCCAAAGGCCTTTCCTCAGCAACACTCATCATGTTTCACAATCTTACTCTTACTAGATTCGATCGTTTATACGCCCCGTGCGTTACTTGTATGTACTTGCCGTTTCTTTCGGAGTTTATTCTGGGGCTCCTTTAAACCTTCCTCTCTGTTCCCTAGCTCCTTAGCGCCGTACAGTTCGTGGTTGATCCGCACAAAGCTGGTCTTCAGATGAAAGGCGGACTTTCTCTGCGGCATGCGGCCTGCGGGGATCATGACGATGTTTCCTCGGGAGTAAGTGAGTGAACTGAAAGAATGGTAGTGATGGTACAGTACGAGTAGACAAGTAAGACCAGAGGGTGGTACAGTAAAATGTAAAATAGAGGGCAAAGAGAGAGTAAGAGGATCATGTAAACAACCATGCATCATACCTTTCCGAATCGCGCAAGAACACGGTTTTCCACACCTTCACAAGCCCATCGATAACTACCTTCTGCCAAAGCGAGGTTTTCGACTTCAGCGCGGAACAAACGTGAGGGGTCGGGTGCACCTGGACCGGAAGGAAGGGATGGCATCATGTTACCTGACATGTCTCGCGTGTCCACGGCGGCTGGGAGTGAGTAAAATTGTGAAACATATTTGTCATTTGGGTATTTGTCCCATTCTTTCATAAAGACCCTCTTAATCCTTCATCTCATCAAGCTGCTTGTGGAGAGTCGGTCATATGAAGTGAGGATTTGAGAGATGATGAGATATCTGTAAACAGTAGAGAGCACGTGAGAAGTAGTATGGGAGTGTCACGGAAAGGATAGTCCAGATGATGGTACGGGTAGTGAGGGAAGGATCTAAACTCACCATTATCAGATCCAAGGAGGAGCTTAAACACTCCGTTTAGACCAAAGAGATTTAAGAAATACCATGAGAGTGCTCTGGCCGTTAGCTTTGAACGTATAGGGGATGAAAGACATACGAAACCCATCGAACGTCTAAATCAGGCATCGCGATGTCTCTCGACAATAAAGATTTGAATCCCAATGTCAACGGGAAGGGCAATTTGACTTTCTCATTAACATTCATCATCACAGGAGTACTACTCTATTAAGTGATTTGCCTAACTCACTGAGGATGAAACCAGAGAAGAATACACTTATGTATTGCATAATGATCATATTCGGTACCCTCTATTTCAGCTCTTATTCTATTGTAATCTCAGAAGGAAGTTTCAACTTACATCATAACAGCCTGATTCTTCATTCCATCCATCATTCCGTCCATATTAGCAGGATCGAAAGGATTCTGAACTTTGTCTTCCTCTCCTTCTTTCGGTTTTTCTTCTTTCAGGTATCCACCGGAAGATAATGCAGCCGCTAATGAGACGGAAAAAGCTTTGTATTGAGAGGGATAAAGTGGTGAGAGAGGGGTAGAAGTACGTAAGATAGCACCACGAGCGAGGGCACGTTGTTCTCTCACCGCAGCCAGAGTTTGTTTTTTAGGAGCGGAAACGAGGAGTTGGGTGACGTAATGACGTAGTATACCAACCAGAACCTAAGTCATCAGCTAGCCGCTTGTTGATCGCAGAAGGAGAAGAAGAAGCTGACCATGATCAATGTGATGGGGATGAGTACCCAGTCCTGATTGTCAGTTAGGTCTGGGGTGACTCCAGTCAACAGGGCTTACCCGAATGGAGGGATCCAGGTAGAGCTCTTGCCTGTGATCATGAGCTGATACTGTTAGAAGGTAGGACTACTCACTCCACTTTGACGGGCATGGTCACCCACTGCATCGTTGTCAAAGATGCAACGCTCGTCGTCGTTGCAGTCATGGTCATCGACGTCGTGGGAGGGGAGAGAGAGACGGACTTGGATTCGATCTCCGTTCAAAAGTTGAATCGTCTCGGTTGAACAATCTGCCAAAGCTTCTCCCTACTTAACTTATATCCCATCTCATCATGCGCAGCTTGACCCCGACAAAGGTCAGTCTGGCCTCTTTGGTAGAGATATGTAATGGAGGAGCGATCTCTGCCCTTGCTGCCGACCCCGAGGCTGGAGATGTCTTCGTCACAGTGGAGAGGATTGTCAACGATCAACGTGTGGAAGTGGATTTCATACGACTACACCAAACTACTGCTGTCACTTCCAAAGTTTGTCTTCTGATGTTCTGCAGAGATAAGCTGATAATCTCAGGAAATTATAGCGACCTTCTCCTCCCCGGTTCTCGCTCCTTTCTCTCTACCAGATGGAGCATCACAAGTGCTGGATCTACATTACTTCCCGGACAATCAATCATTAGTCGTACTCTTGACAGGAGGGGACATTGCGATCCTCAAAGTGGGCGAGCTTGAAGAGCAGTCAAGAGATGTAAGTCCAATTCCTCCATACGTCCAGTACTACACTCATCAGTAGGTGGAAGTGGTCGGCAGCGTTGACAGCGGCATCAAGGCTGCAGCGTGGTCACCGGATGAAGAGCAACTGATCCTCGTCACAGGTAACCAATTTCTTGAAATCTACACTGGTCTACGAGCTAAGATGTAGGGGATGACAATCTCGTTTGCATGACTCGGGATTTCGATCTGACACATGAAGAGCCATTGCGAAAAGATACATTTGGCGAGGGTCAGTTCTCCGATATCTGCCACGTCTGGAGCTAACAAGTAGACGAGTTTATCAACGTCGGATGGGGTTCTAAAACCACTCAGTTCCATGGTTCCCTCGGAAAAGCAGCTGCACTAGCTTCTTCCTCTTCCAAACCATCATCACTATCACATCCTACAGACGACACCCTACCCCGTATAACCTTTCGAGGAGATGCTGCCTTTTTTGCCATATCATCTCTTGACCCTTATAGAGATTCTGATCACGGAAGAAGACAAATTCGAATATACTCTCGGGATGCAATGGCTGGCTTCTCCCCTAAGTTATCCGCCACCTCGGAGTCTCTGCCAGGATTGGAAGGTCCTATAGCTTGGCGACCTAGTGGGAATTTACTCAGTGGATTGGTACGTTATGGTTATCCAGGAGGAGCGGAAGGAAAGGAAGGAAGATGGGAAGTTGCGATGTTAGAACGTAATGGTCTTCGACATGGGGGTTTCGAATTACGGGAAGAGAAAAAAGTCTGGGAGAATGGCAAAGTCAAGGGGATGATTTGGAATGCAGACTCAGAGGTACTAGCTATCTGGATTGAGCGTGAAACAGAGGATGTTGGTGAGTCATGGGAGTTGACAAAGTCAACAAACGTGCTAATGATAAAAGTTCAATTGTGGACTATGAAGAATTATCATTATTACCTCAAACAAGAACTTTTTTCGATCACTCCGTCATCAAGACTTCGAGGATTTAGATGGCATCCCGAACAACCACTCACAATCTTTCTCTTTGGCGAAGGTGAGTTGACCGACTTGCTAAACTTCCTCGTTATTGAGTACCTGCTGACTGGAAGACCATATTCAATCCAGATCTTTTGCTTGGGATACATATATCTCCAGATTGCCTATGCCAAATGATACCGCTTCGGTCGCTGTTGTGGACGGCAGTAGGTATTCCTTCACGATTTTTTTGTGGGCGCTCATCAAAGATCGCCTACTGGTCACTCCCTTCCGCACACAAATCACCCCACCGCCCATGTCATCCTACACCCTGCAGCTTCCTTCCCAACCCGTTCACGTCAGCTTTTGCTCTACTCAAGATACACTAGCCATCGTCTTCAGAGACGGCAGCGTACAAGTCTGGGATCTAGGCACCCGTATGCCAGACAAAGGGGTATCGAAATTAAGAGCAGGTGGAATGGTGGCCGATCCAAAGCTGCGCTGGGCTTCCGAACCGTACGAGTCGAAGCATGGACTCGCCAGTCAGGTAGCTCTGGCAGATGATGGTTCAGTGGGGATATTATGTCACGCATCAGAACCCCAACACTCTACCTGTCATCTACTTGTCTTGTCTTCGGACGGTTCGCGCAAGTCCATCCCCGTCGAAAGTGCTAATCGCATTCTACATGATAGTCAAATAGGATGGCTAACTTGTGGTGATGAGGGTATGCTACGCAGTAGTGGGTTCTTATTCACGGAGATTGACTGAAGCTCATGTGCTGCAGCGGATAACAATTTAGAAGTCCAGTTATGCCCAAATCCTCTCTCGATCGCCGTCTTCTCTGAATCATCCCTCATTTTCGCACTTTCGCCTTCCGGCAAGCTCTATCTCGCCTCCCTCTCACCAGGTAGCCAATCCGACTCATCCATCATAGCCTCATCAGTTACCTCTTTCACTCTCACTCCTGACTTCTTGATCTACACCACAGCCTCTCAGACATCGTTTTACCCTCCTCTCAATACCTTATCTCGTATCGCTTCTGGTGAAGATGTCCCTGCCTCTGAAAGAGAATGGGAACTCAGACGAGTGGAACGAGGGTCTTTGGCTGTAGTAGCATGTCCGAGCTCTATGAGTCTTGTCCTGCAGATGCCTCGAGGTAATCTGGAGACTATATATCCTCGACCCCTTGTTCTCGCTGTAGTACGGAGAGGCATCCTTGCGTGAGTCTCGAAATCTGTTCGAGGTTTTCTTTCTCGCTTCATAGCTGATTAAGGTAGAGGTCAATACAGAGAGGCTTTCCTCACATGTCGCAAACATCGTTTAGACCTGAACATATTATATGATCTGTCACCGGATCAGTTTATGAAACAATTACCTGAGATCGTGCGGAACATTCCGGAGGTGGATTATTTGAACTTGCTCGTTTCTTCTTTACGGTAAGCTAATTCCCCACTCTGCTGTGGACTGAGAGCTAGCTTATGCATTCAGGGAAGAGTCACGCTCACAGGACTTGTACAAAGGTATAGACACAGACCCCGCAAGGTCAGCAAAGCGTTCGGATTCCCAATGTTGACTGACATCTTAGCGGCCTACAAAATGGAAAGATCAACCGGATTTGTGATGCTGTACGAGATCTACTGGAGGAGATCGACCTAGTTAAGTATGTCGAGACTATCCTGACCAGTCATATCTGCAAGGTCCCATCGGATTACGAAGCTGGTCTACGGGTCTTGCTTCGGTTACAGGGTGAGCGCCCAGCTTATCACCGCTCATATTTCGCACAGCTCTTCGTCTGTGGTGAAAATGAGCTGATGGTTAGACGATCACCCAGACGTGGTCGAAGACGCTATAAAGTACATCATCTTCTTATCTGACGTGAACAAACTGTACGATGTCGCTTTGGGGATGTACAACTTTCAATTGGTTCTCATGATAGCTCAATACTCGCAAAAGGTCAGCTGATATTATACAATGCATGTCAGAAGCTGATTTTGTCAGGACCCAAAGGAATATCTCCCTTTTTTACGCGAACTTCGAGCATTGGATCAATATGAACAACGGTATCGGATCGATGATCATCTCGGTCGACGTGTCAGTGCTTTGAGGAACCTCCATGCGGCTGGTCCGGAGAAATTCGAAGAAGCTTCATCTTATTTGGCTCGTTATGAATTATACGATGAAGCGTTCAAACTTTATAAAGAAGACACCGAACGTCTGCCCGTAAGCTATCCTTGCACGGACATCTGATGAAGCTGATAAGGAGATTATCTATGATTTATATGGTGATTATCTATATGACCGAAGAGATTTTCATGAAGCTGCATTAGGTCAGTTATCTACATGCACATGGATGTCGAACTGATGATCAAGCATATACATCAGCTTCCAAACCATTGAAAACTCTCAAAGCGTACGAAAAAGCACACGCATGGAGAGAACTTTTTTCACTTGCAATCAATCAACAACTCTCTTCAGATGAGATGAAATCTCTGTCCGAAAGAACCTCGGAATATCTGGCTTCGAGAGGTAGACATCTTGAAGCTGCTCGTATACTTGTCGATCATGCGGGGGATGTTGACACAGCCATCGAGGTAGTTTGTCAAGGAGGAGAATTTGCTGAGGCACAACGTTTGGCTGCTATGTATGATCGACCGAATCTTGTGCAAAGTATCATTTTACCTGCTATGGAAAAGACACAGGAAGAGATATTAGAAACGTTTGAAGAGATGCAAGGACAGTTAGAAAAGGAGATGTCAAGACTTGGAGAATTGAGAGAAATCAGAAAGAATGATCCGGATAGGTTTTATATTGTCGAAAGGGAAGAATTGGAAGGTGTTGATGTGGTAACTAACGCTTCTACTGCGGTGACGAATTTTACTAGGTATACCGTGGCACCTACCACCATTACGCAAGTGACGAGGATGACGGGGTGAGTTTATTCATATCACTCTTTATCTATCTACCTTTTCATCTGCCTTCTCCCGTTCTTCCCCCTGAGCTATGACTCTATACTCTCGAACACTTACTGAATCACGACACAATCATAAGGATCGTATAAATCACCTCTTGTGCGATGTCTGAAATTCCAAATACACGACAACGTTTGGCAGGGAGGTATGGTATGTGTGGAGTTACGGGTGGATGCAAAAAGTGTGAGGGTCCAGGGGTAAACGGGGTAGACAAAGAAGAGGATGAAATGAGATAAAGGAAGTTGACATATAGTCAAACGAATAAAAGTAAATATAAACCTTCAAAGAAGCGTGCGACGGGGAGAAAAGGTACAGTGGACGAATACGAATATCTTATTTCTTCGCTCGGTCGATTGGTCATTCGAACAGAAGAGAAGAGCGGTATGTATACTCTTTCTCTCTCTTTGTGCTCCTCCTTCTCTCCCTCTCTTTCCCCTCCCTCTCCTTTTCACTGGCAGTTTTTCATCTTCTCCTCCATCATCCTACCTCTCATCCTATTCGTCCTGTCATTTTCATCCAACTCCCTATTCCCCTGTAGCCAAACAAGTCTCCAGAATTACTCAATCATACCCGCTTGAAAACACATGAATTCATACTAAACCTCCACAGCCGAAGCTCTCACCCTCCTTCGTCACCTACTCATTCCACTCCCTGACCTAGCTCAATCTCTTCAATCTTATATCTTATCATTCCGCCTTCGACTCACCCTCGCCCTGGAAGATGCATGGAAAGACAGAGAGTCTGTGCTCGGGGAAGTCATCTCGAGTGGTGGAATGGGTCTAGGAGGTGATCCAACGTCTGCTTTGGAGATTGTGAGACCTAAAGTGGAGGAATGGAGAGGATTGGGGATGTTGGTTATTTGATATTTACTCATACATATCTTGCATTGACATTCTTACAATTTGTCGAGTTCATATATCTGAACCACAAAGATCGGGTATGGGTATTGTCATGACCGGGTAGCGAGCCCGCGATCATAAACCGTGCTAAAAGGCTCAATATCAACTCTGCTAGTGAGAGTTGATCTTGCTATAAGTACTGGTCGGTGACAGGTATGTTTTCATGCATCAGCAATCAGCCAGTTGTTCATCAACCATTCAACTTATCAGTTCATACGATAACTACTCGTACTGTACACCCTGATAATCCCTGTGTTCGTTTTTGCACATACGTAAGCAGTACGAGTAGTGGTAAATACAAGTACTGTATCTTGTTGAAAGTGGGAACAGGGGGAAGAACACGAAAGACGAGAGAACAGATGCATGCGAAAGTAAAAATCAACTCGGAGGACCGGTCTACAAAGAAGCTAAAAACGAAATTGGGGGGAAAATGACATTTTGAGTACTTCCACAAGACGTATCGCGTACAATAATGAGCATCGACATGGGGTTGGTGGTGGTGTAAAGCGATATGTGATGTGATGTGTGGAGTGTGATATGTGATGTGATGTGTGGAGTGGAATGCGATGAGGATTGAGATTTCATGCGTTGATGTTGAATGGTCGGAATGGGTGACACGTTCAAGAATGAGATGGAGTGGGTGAAGGATATTCGTTGTACAGCATTTAAGAATGATTTGATCGACCATGTTTCTCCTATCGATGGTTGAGACGGAACGAGATGATCGACCTGTAGAGCGAAAAAAAAGATTGGAGACAGATTGAAAGTGGGAATCAAAAGCTTATCTATTCCCCATCCCCGAAGGCATATTCATCCTACCCATCACACTTTGATTCAAATTCGGTGGACTCATAGTCATTCCCATACCTAAACTTCCAACTCCAACTCCCACCCCAACTCCATTCCCACCCCCCACCCCACCCATACCTAATCCCAAACCCATATTCTGAGTTCCAGGAGGGGGAGGAGGAGGTAACAAAGGAGTTGTAAAGTAACTTGAACCAGGTTGAGGTTTAGGTGTGAATTGTGAAAAAGCACCTAAAACAGGTCCACCGATACCAGGTTGACCTAAATGTCCAAGAAAAGTAGGCATTATCCTTCTTCTCCTCTGTCTTCTTCCTGGACCTGGTGATCCAGGACCGGTAGGACTTAAAGCGGTATGAAGTGTACGAGAAGCTAATGAAATACTTGGTGAACGTGATCTATCATATGAACCACCACTTGGGAAACGTGGTGTTGAACCACCTAATTTAACACCACCACCTAATACTGTAACGTTACCTCCGTCGTATGGGGTGATGATTGGTGTTGTCGCTGAACCATTACCTCCTGTGGAGTTGGTGTTAGGGTTGTGTGAAGATAAAGGTGTAATGTGTAAATTGGCAGTTGGTGTTAAATCATCTGTCGTGTCGATTGTTTGTTGGTTTTCTCCATTATTTGGGTTCAAGGGAGAGGGAGAAGGAGAACCATTCTCATGTGAGAAAGAAGGAGGAAGTGGAGTAAAAGGTTGATTCTTGTCTTTTAAACCGACTTGGACAGCAGGAAGATAACGATATGGTTCAACGGAAGAAGGTCGACTTGAAGGAGTGAGTAAAGTTTGAGCTGAAGAATTGGCTTCTGATGAAGTTGATGATGAAGTACTACCTCTTCCTCCGAAAGACCTGGGAGAACGACCTGTTCTTTCGGTTTGACCGGTGGTGGTGTCGATTTCGCTGTTGGATGTGGAAGTGTATACATCACCCCTGGGAGAAGGAGATGGACTGCGAGTTCCTTCAGATGATGATGGTCGACTGGCATTACCTGATCGTTCTGCGTTAACAGGTGTTGGTGTTTGAGTTTCGGGAGCACGAATGGGAATGGCATAATTCGGTCGAGAAGTTTGAACGATCGGTGCTTGTGATGGGGTCACGGATACTGAAGCTTCGGCAGGCATGGCTTGCCAGATAACGTGGAAGGGTTCTGAAGATTAGCATGATGACACTGAATATGTGGGGTGTGACCGATTTGTCCACATCCCGAATTCTCACTCGTTCCCAGTTCACAAGTAAACCTAGGAGAAGGATACCTGGTACATAGCGGATGAGAGAGTATCGACTTGACTAGAAGATCTGATATCGTGAAGACGAAATGTCGTGGGCAATCTCGAAGCTGAAGCAAAGTATAGGGGTGAATGAAACCACAACTCACCTTTTATCACTCTAAAAGGTTCATAACCCGAATCTTCCCATTCCCAACCTCCATATCTCCAAACGACATAACCAGGATCACACCAAGCTTCCCAATCTTCTTTCCCCAATTCTTCCTCTCCTTTCCCTTTCTTCAATCTCAAAGCCAAAGCTTTCTTCCAAACTTTCTCTTCAACTCCACACTCCTTGGCTGCCTCACGTAATTGTGGAGGTAAACCATGTTCCCCATCACAGATTAAAGACCTAAATCCTGATCCGAAATCAGGATGAGCTTCATCCCACGTGGGTGAATATCTTTCCGCTAGAATACGCGTGAGGATTTCTCGTAGTGATAAAAGGGTTTGATGAGGATAATGAAGAGCTAGAGGTTTGATAAGATGATGTATGAAGTTTGATAATGCTGTATGAAGAGATTTATCAAGTACTAATGCTGATGAAGAAATGGAAGGGATTGGTGTATGTGTTAATGCTGGTGATATTTCAGGTTCTTTTTGCGCTTGAGGAGCATGCGGTGTTGGTTTTGGTGTTGATGTGAGTGTAAGTGTAGATGTACGAAATGTATCTGTCGAAGGTGGATTAAAAGGATCAAGGGGAATAGAAAGTGATGGTTGATGATGTTGAGGAACTTCTGGTTTGGTGTGAGTGGATAGTTGTTTATGAGGTGTTTCTTGATGAGAAAGATTAGGTTGATGATCGTGAGAAAGAGGTTCTGATGGAGCTTTCACATCTCTCTGAGGTTGAGGTTCGAGTGGACCTATAGGAGGTGAGGAAGGAGTAGACCAAGAAGAACCATCTTGATCTTCCCCTTCTGTAGAGCTCGAAGCCATGTTTATTGCTTGTTGAAGACTGGTCCAAACATGTTCATCAAATAATTGTATACTCGTGACTGTTCCAAGTGATGGTTGATGGACTTGTGTTATTGTCGATGGAACAGATTGAGAAAGAAGCGATAGGAATGCTGGGTAGATATGAGGATGTGATGGTCGAGACAGGACACAGGGGGGGAGGAACCTCCCTCCACTGGCGATGAGTGCCAGGTCTGAGATCAAGGAGAAAGGGAAGATGGTGAGATCTGCCACAGAAGTTGATTCGGAAGAGAGGCTATGCAGTGAATTCTGCTAAGATGATAGAGGGGAGACAGGAGACCTGGTTGTCTTTGACGAGATTGGAGGTGAGATCGGGGTGCATGAAAGGAGAGTGGGCAGTTGGCCAGTTGGGGGGGAACGGGGAGGGGGGGGGAGCGGGACGGGCGATGAGGGCAAAGGGAGGAATTACCCGTTTGGGAAGTTGATCTTGCGGTACAACAAGTCACGTGATTTTGACAAACGGCGTTACGTTCTTCTGCTTCTTTCCTTTCCCCACAGCCCCACATCCCCCCGCGTTCTTGCAACATGCAACATGCAACATGTACAACGTCTAGACACAAAACTTTTCATCGTGATATACAAATAATGATAATGTTCAAATGTTATGCCAATAGTATTGTCCGACTATGATACATCTTTTCCTTTCTCATCAACTCTCATCTCGATTCTCCTCCCCTCTCCGACCTAGTCTCCCACGAAGCGTCGTACATTGGCGGAAGATCTTCCATCCCATCTTCGACCGCATCAGCCGGTCCAGCATCCTCATGTCTTCTGAACCCTCGAGGAGGGGCGTTCTGGGGTGGTAACCTCATTCCGTCCAGAGGATCTCGGTGATCCGGGTTGGTGGCAGACATCGTGGCTGCCATGTGGGCTTTTGTTCCAGGTTGAGGGCCTCGACTCGCGTTCCCACTTCCACTTGCAAAACCGGTCATCTGAGGTTGATTCCATACGGAAATACGTCTTGCTTGAGCGGAAAGAGGTTCATCTGTTCCCATTAGGGGCTGTCTGAGGGAGGTATTCGAGGAGAGAGAACCTGTACGGATATGAGGTAAACGAGGAGGATCCGTGAGTATGTTGGAAGAACCAGGAGAATCCCACGGAGTCGAGGAGTAGGGTCGATTAGGTGAATTGGGTATGGATTCCATAAGACCTGGAACTCTCGGTCCATCCATGAATGGTGAAATGGAAGATTCTGCATCGTATCTATCATCCACGCTCGAACGTCCTGTTTGACCGATTCGAGCAGAAGTGGCATACGTTCGAACGTCTGATAATCGGTGAGCACGCGAGTTGGGGACAGAGTGCATACTGGCGTCGTCGTCTCGTACACTGCCGTGGATGGTGGAGACGAGATCGACATCGCCATCAGGTTTGACTTCTCGACCTCGCATTTGTTTACGATGGAGTCGTAGAGCTGCGATCTGACGTCGACAGCAGAACCATAATAGAGCGGCTTGGAGGATAATGACGCAAACGACGGCGGCGACGACGATACCAGCTATAGCTCCAGCGCTCAGACTGCCTAGTCAGTCATAGCCCTTTGTGGGGAGGTAGGACAGTCAAGGTCACGTGTAGTCGCGCTACCAGATGTGAAAACGAGTAGCAGGTGAGTCACTCACCCAGCCGCTCCTGGTACTGATGTAGCAATCGCAGTGACTGTCTTTACACCCCCACCTGATGTCGATGACGCAGTGTTACTAGGAGAGGATGCTGGGGTAGATGATGGTGACGAGTCATCTAGACATGTACTGTCGGACGAGCCTCCCACCGTCAAGAGAGCAGATGAGCCTCCTTGACCATTGCTGCCTGCATCGAAAGCGGCCAGTAGGAATTGAGTGCCAGCAGCGATGTTTGTCTTCCATGCTGAGAGTCAGTCGTCCACATTGTTGACAGTAAGACGGATGGGTGGTAACGATGACAGAGGTAAATGGAAATGAGGACATACCTAAAGAAGTCGAGGTTTGGGCGACGAACTGAAAGACCTGACCACCAGGAATAGCTCCTATGATCCGGACAGGCGCTACGGCCGATTTGTCCCAGTAGATCTGTACGTTTTCACATTGGTTCACGCTCGTCTCATTCAGGTAGAATCTATATTTAGCAGTAGTCGGGTTGGGAAACAGGGCAGACTCACTCGAAATCAGCTGCGGTGGAACGTAGGTCGCATGAGGAGCCCGCTGCGTTGGCCACGGTGTATAGAGGACTGAGACCCCCCGACTGTCGATCAGATCATGCGAATACAGTGATGAAGGTACCTACACCCAGGCCAGTAGAGTCGGACATCATTGCTACCAGCTGAGTCTTTGCTGGGTCTAGAGGTGAGCTCTGAAGTGATGCATGATCATGCACCTTGCACCGCGTATGATGATCATCAAAGGCTGGTTACAGATGAGAGTATATGAACGACCCTCATGTATCTGGATATCTGAATTCTGCTGCAGGTCGAGAAGGGCACATGGTGTCTGGAAGAGGAGACGATGGAAAGTCAGCTTACAATTGACGGTCCAACTATACGAACCCGCAGATCCGTCCCACGCCGAAGAAGGTAATGACACATTCACAGGATAATCGTAAGCTGGCTATGATCATCATCAGCTCAATCCTTTCATCTGAAATCAACCTTGAAAACCTGGAGCGACAAGACAGACCCCATCGTATCAAAGTCGCAACTTCATTCGTATCCACCAGACTGTTTAATGGTTGTATGGGAAAACTCACCAATATGGTGAGACTGAAAGGTGGACTACCGCCCTGCCATCTCACCGTTACTTGTCCACATGAAACCAAATCCGAAGTCGAGAAAGAGAAGCTGAAAGCAGATACCAGTGTCAGTAAAGCTGATATTGATAAGAACGGTAATAGTATCATGATGATTTAACGAGGGGGGAGATAGATGAGGATGAAAGTGAAGATGATAGATGATAGATGATAGCTGCTGCGCCACGATCCCTGATCTATCAGATGACCGGTGACCGAATCTTTGAAATGGTCCCGTTCTCTTTGCGATTAACGAGAAGCGGGACCGGGACCGGGACCGGGGGAGGATAGTATGGTGGATGGTGAATGGTGAATGGGAAGGGGAAGAGGAAGGGAGGGTGTAGGGGGAGTAAAGGAATAGAGAATGTACGGAAGTGGTAATGGAAGTGGGGATACTAAGTGAAGGTGAAAGTGAAGGGAAGAGGTGAATGTTGTGAGCTGATGAAACACGATCTTGGTTAGGCACGAATAGACTTGAAACGCGACTGATTTTTCTAATGAACCCTCATTTATCTCAAAGCTTTTGTGGCGAAATCGGGGGGTTTCAAGGGGGCATGAGAGTTCTCTGGCGCGCTGGCGATGGATGCCGTTTGGATGCAGGCCTCGAGGATGCACTCATGGTGAGAGAGGTTTTAACATTACTACATTGTTTTATGTCCGTTTCTCCAACCATGACACCGTTGGTGAAACGGTATCATACGTCGTTGCCATACAGGGAGCCCATCTCGGTCGACGTGGCAGGTGTTCGACTCACCTACGGTGTAACCTTTTTGTTCCTGGGGCTGGTTTCTTGCGCTACCCTCAGATAGACGCTACGAGGCCCTCACTACAGTATCTCGTCTGAAGCCCTTTGGTGATGAGTGACATGTTTGTGCTCGGGAATCTGGAGCCTCCGAGTGATCGAGTGAGTAGCGTTTCCAAAACCGGTCAACTAGGGATGCCACTCTCACCCACATCGGTCGCGACTTGGCTCGCTCTGCTGTCGTTGCATGGTGCATAGTGTTTGCTGCCTGCTGACTGCATCCATATGATATTGTCCTGAGGCGGCATGATGAATGAAGAGTGAGCTAGATGCGGTGACAAAACACATGCCACATGCCACAGTAGTAAAAAGATGAACCCGCTCACGGTGAATGACGTCATAGCACGTTTTGCCACCGGATACTGTCAGTTGAGACATTTGATCGCACGGTGGCACGGTCGCATCTGGCCAGTCTGGGGGCATCCGGATACGACTTGACAAGCTGGTTGTCAAGTGTCCTTCATAACCCCCAACCATCTCCCTTTAACCTTTCATCCTCTATCTCTTTCCTCGAGGAAACGACATATCGCTCATTTTTATACTCCTCTCATACCAGTATTCTCCTTACTACACTCCAACCTTTTCCTTCTTTCCTCTTTCGACCCAAACTACGTTCCACTCTCAACCCTTTCCCCATCCTTCCAAGTGAAGGTCCTGGCCGGGCC